GGTTGCAACAATGTGGAGGTGGGGAGGGGAGGAGCCCAGCCTGGACAGAGTGGGGGAAGGGGTTTGGGGGGGCAGAGCTGGCTTGCTGGGAGGGGGGGTCGTGGGGGCAGATGGCTGGAGGGAGGGTGCATGTGAGGCTGGCCCATTGCTCCCCCCATCCAGCCAATCCGTGCCCTGGACACCCCACCATCTCTGCTGGCAATGGAGGAGCCCCATCCCACCCCTCTTGTGGGGGGGGTGCTGGGCCTGGGGGGGTCATTTGATGATTAAGTCCCAGCCTGCCCCCTGCCCAGGCCAGCCGGCCGCTGCCTCAAACAGGCCAAGCCCGGCTGCGGGGCAGCGGCGGGGGGGAACGTTGTTGCCCCATAGACCACAGAACCGTGGGGGGGCGGGGGGGGGGCTCAGGCTGCCGGGGGCCAGCAGCACCTCCCAGTCGCTTTCATGATGCCCCCCCCTATAATCTCTCTGAGCTCAGTCCCCTGAATGGGGGGACTGCAGCTTACCCAGTGTCTGCCCCCCCCCCCCCGGCACAAGCACAGTTGCCTCATAGACAATTAGTTGCAACAGTGTCATTCTGGAGGTCAACATTGCATCAAGACCCACAGAGTACCATCTTGGGAGCCAGGACTCCTGGGTTCTCTCCCCAGCTCTGGGAGGGGAGTGGGGGCTAATGGTTAGAGCAGGGGGGTGGAATGCTGGGAGCTAGGACTCCTGGGTTCTCTCCCCGGCTCTAGGAGGGGAGTGGGAGCTAGTGATTAGAGCAGGGGGGACTGCTGGGAGCCAGGACTCCTGGGTTCTCTCCCCAGCTCTGGGAGGGGAGTGGGGGCTAATGGTTAGAGCAGGGAGGGTGGAATGCTGGGAGCTAGGACTCCTGGGTTCTCTCGCCGGCTCTAGGAGGGGAGTGGGAGCTAGTGATTAGAGCGGGGGGACTGCTGGGAGCCAGGACTCCTGGGTTCTCTCCCCAGCTCTGGGAGGGGAGTGGGGGCTAATGGTTAGAGAAGGGAGGGTGGAATGCTGGGAGCTAGGACTCCTGGGTTCTCTCGCCGGCTCTAGGAGGGGAGTGGGAGCTAGTGATTAGAGCAGGGGGGACTGCTGGGAGCCAGGACTCCTGGGTTCTCTCCCCAGCTCTGGGAGGAGAGTGGGGGCTAATGGTTAGAGCAGGGGGGGTGGAATGCTGGGAGCTAGGACTCCTGGGTTCTCTCCCCGGCTCTAGGAGGGGAGTGGGAGCTAGTGATTAGAGCAGGGGGGACTGCTGGGAGCCAGGACTCCTGGGTTCTCTCCCCAGCTCTGGGAGGAGAGTGGGGGCTAATGGTTAGAGCAGGGAGGGTGGAATGCTGGGAGCTAGGACTCCTGGGTTCTCTCGCCGGCTCTAGGAGGGGAGTGGGAGCTAGTGATTAGAGCAGGGGGGACTGCTGGGAGCCAGGACTCCTGGGTTCTCTCCCCAGCTCTGGGAGGGCAGTTGGGGCTAGTGGTTAGAGTGTGGGGGGGATGCTGGGAGCCAGGACTCCTGGGTTCTATCTCCCGTGGGAGGCTGAGACAGCAGCTGGGGGAGAGGCATAGCTCTGAGCCCCCCCTCCACCCCCCACCCCCGCATCTTGTCTCCGCGCCACCTGGTGGCAGCAGTAGGATCCGGCTCAAGGTCAGTGGAAGGGGACGGAGGAAATTTCCAGTCCCCTCCTGGCGGAGATGAGGACTTGGCAGGCGCTGGGGGTCGGGAAGGCGGGGGAGAGGAGCTGCGGGGGGGGGATTGAGCTCATTCATCCCTTGCTCCCCCCCCCCACAGCTGGCCAAGCGGTTCCATCACCCCATTCAGCCTGTGCTATGGGGGGGGCGGTGTTTGTACTGGTGCCCCCCCACAGAGACAAGCTCATTAAGCCAGTGCCTACAGATGGGGGGGGTGGGGAGCTGTCCCTGCTCTGAAAGGGGTCTGGGTCGGATATCTGCCCCCTCCCTGCCCCAGGGGCACCCCTCCATCACCCAGCCCTTCGGCGCCCACTCAGGCCCTTGAAAACATGCCCCCTCCCACACACAACTGTGGGGGGGGGCATGTCCCTGCTTTGAAGAGGATGCTATACAGGGACACAATGGCAGCTCCAACACCCCCCCCCCGCCCCATTCATAAAGCCAGGTCCCTGTGTTGAATGGGGCGGGGGGGAGGGGGGGGGAGCAATGGTGCGGTGCTGCCCCCCTGTGGCGAATCGGGGAACGACAGGGGGCAAAAAACAAGGTATATGCGGGGGAGGGGGCTTGGGAAACAGGTGGGCTCCCGCAGCCCCCCCCCCCGCTACCCCAAACTCTGCCCCCCCATTTCCTGGCCCTTCCCACCAGAGCCCATCACTGCTGCACCCGGTGGTCTCAGAACCCCCGGGAGGCGGGGGGGGAACCAGGGTCCCCCCCTTTTTGTCTAACGGACCCCCTCAGATAAGGGCATCCGTGGGCCAGCCCCAGCCCATGGGGAAGAAGGGCAGAAGAATCGGCGGGGGGGGGGCGCTCAGGCAGGACACGTCAACCTGGACAAGTCAACCCAGGGTTTGCCCAACTTGTTCAGAAAATCCTCCAGTTTTTGCCCCCCCCAGGGGCGCCAAACCTACCGCCGAGCGCCCCTGAAAGGGAACAGGGTTCGCCTCCCATCTCCGCCGCTGCGGACAAAGCCCGTTCCATCTCCCCCGGCCTTCGGCGGCCATGGAGAACCGGTCCCCTGGCCTCTGAGCCGATCTGGAATCTTCCCCCCGCCCCGTTTGGGTTTTGTACGGGGAGGGGGGTTCCTAAACCTCGCCTCACTTCCATTGCTCCTCTCTGGGCTCTCTCCTCCCCCCACCCCTGCCGCGAATCCGCTTCGCCCCTCCTTGCTTCTGCTTTCTGGACCAAAAAGTCACCCCAAGCCCTTCGTGGATGTTGGGTGTTTTCATGGACTCATCGAAGATCAGGGTTGGAAGGGACCTCAGGAGGTGTCTAGTCCAACCCCCTGCTCAAAGCAGGACCAATCCCCAATTAAATCATCCCAGCCAGGGCTTTGTCAAGCCAGGCCTTAAAAATATCTAAGGATGGAGATTCCACCACCTCCCTAGGTAACGCATTCCAGTGTTTCACCACCCTCCTCGTGAAATAGTGTTTCTGAATATCCAACCTAGACCTCCCCCACTGCAACTTGAGACCATTACTCCTTGTCCTGTCCTCTTCTACCACTGAGAACAGCCGAGCTCCATCCTCTTTGGGACCCCCTTCAGGCAGTTGAAGGCTGCAACCAAATCCCCCCTCACTCTTCTCTTCTGCAGACTAAACAACCCCAGCTCCCTCAGCCTCTCCTCGTAAGTCATGTGCCCCAACCCCTCATCATTTTCGTTGCCCTCCGCTGGACTCTCTCCAATTTATCCACATCCTTCCTGTAGTGTGGGGCCCCAAACTGGACACAGTACTCCAGATGAGGCCTCACCACTGTCGAATAGAGGGGGACGATCACGTCCCTCGATCTGCTCGCTATGCCCCTACTTATACATCCCAAAATGCCGTTGGCCTTCTTGGCAACAAGGGCACACTGCTGACTCATATCCAGCTTCTCGTCCACTGTCACCCCTAGGTCCTTTTCCGCAGAACTGCTGCCGAGCCATTCGGTCCCTAGTCTGTAGCGGTGCATTGGGTTCTTCCGTCCTAAGTGCAGGACCCTGCACTTATCCTTGTTGAACCTCATCAGATTTCTTTTGGCCCAAGCCTCTAATTTGTCTAGGGCCCTCTGTATCCTATCCCTACTCTCCAGCGTATCTACCTCTCCCCACAGCTTAGTGTCATCTGCGAACTTGCTGAGGGTGCAGTTAACCCTGTCCTCCAGATCGTTGATAAAGATGTTGAACGAAACCGGCCCCAGGACCGACCCCGTTACTTTTTCAACAGACGTCCAGGCACTTGAAGTCTCTCCATTACTACCAGGTCTTGGGATGTTTCCGTTAGATGGTTATGTCGTGGGGACCATCTTTGCTGGAGGGTTTTGAAAGGCGGGTGGATGGCTGTCTGTCTTGGATGGCTTAAACCAGGGATGGGCAAACTTTTTGGCCCAAGGGCCACATCTGGGTGTGGAAATTGTATGGCGGGCCATGAATGCTCATGAAATTGGGGGGTTGGGGTGTGGGAGGGGGGTGATGGCTCTGGGGTGGGGCCAGAAATGAGTTCAGGGTGCGGGAGAGGGCTCTGGGCTGGGGCAAGGGGTGTGGGAAGGGGTCTAGGATCCACCTGGGGGTGTAGGCTCTGGGGTGGGGCTGGGGAGTTGCAGGTGCAAGAGGGTGCTCTGGGCTGGGATCGAGGGGTTCAGAGGGCGGGAGGGGGATCAGGGCTGGAGCAGGGGGTTGCAGTGCAGGAGGGGGTCAAAGGTGCAGGCTCCGGGTAGCCTTTTCCTCAAGCAGCTCCTGGAAGCAGCGTCATGTTGCCCGGCTCCTACACGGAGGCGCTGCCAGGTGGCTCTGCGCCCTGCCCCGTCCGCAGGCGACGCCCCTGCAGCTCCCATTGGCCACAGTTCCCGGTCAATGGGAGCTGCGGGGGCGGCGCTTTGGGGCGGGGGCAGCAAGTGGAGCCCCCTGGCTGCCCCTATTCATAGGAGCCCTGTGGCGCTCTGTTAAAATGCCTCACCCACCTAATCTTCCTTAATTGGTGGGCTACCGGAGACCTCACCCCCTATTTGATTTGTTGACACCAGAACTGGACCCCGGGCTCCAGCTGCGGGCCAAATCCAGAGGTCAAATAACCCTTCCTGCTCCAGATTCTTGTCGACATGTCGCCTCTCGCGCCGAATCACCAAGCTGGGGGTTAGTGACCCCTCCCCACCATCCGTGGGCCGCCCGGGTTTCCTCCCAGGGCACCGGGAGTTAATCCTGCCGGGGCCTACCGCACCCCGCTCGAGGCTGAGCCCCCCCGCCCAGGACATTCAATGTTAATTAACTCGCCCCCCCCAGCTAACTGGCCCTTGACCCCGCCCCCCCCACCCTCACACAGAGGGAGGGGGAGGCGGCGGCTAAGAAAGAGTTGGATTTATTGTATAAAAAGTTGATATAAAAGTTTGCTGGCAGGGGCGGGGGCACAGAGCAGCGCAGGGGCGGGGTCATGGGACCAGGGGGCGGGGTCACGGGACCAGGGTCCTCAGTAGGATGGGAACAAATCTTCCCGCCCCGCCCCCGTCCTGAGAAGTGAGGGCCGGGGGAAGGGACCGTCAGGCTGACCCTGCCCCCCTTGGGAGAGAGGGACTTTGTAAAAAGCTGGCAGTGGAAACTAGCTTAGTGCAAGACCGGACAGGGTGGGGAGGGTCCGGAGGGGGGGATTATTCAGAATCCTCCTCCTTCACCAGCAGCCTCTTTCCGCTCCGAGGCAGCAGCCCGTCCCCCGGCTCCTTCCGGGTCTTCAGCAACCTGCCCCGGGGAGAGAAGGAAGAGATTCAGAGCCGGGGAGAGAACCCAGGAGTCCTAGCACCCAGCTCCCCCTGCTCTAAGCACCAGCCCCCACTCCCCTCCCAGAGCTGGGGAGAGAACCCAGGAGTCCTGGCTCCCAGCACCCCTGCTCTAACCCCCAGCCCCCACTCCCCTCCCAGAGCTGGGGAGAGAACCCAGGAGTCCTGGCTCCCAGCACCCCTGCTCTAACCACCAGCCCCCACTCCCCTCCCAGAGCTGGGGAGAGAACCCAGGAGTCCTGGCTCCCAGCACCCCTGCTCTAACCCCCCAGCCCCCACACCCCTCCCAGAGCTGGGGAGAGAACCCAGGAGTCCTGGCTCCCAGCACCCCTGCCCTAACCCCCAGTCCCCACTCCCCTCCCAGAGCTGGGGAGAGAACCCAGGAGTCCTGGCTCCCAGCACCCCTGCTCTAACCACCAGCCCCCACTCCCCTCCCAGAGCCGGGAGAGAACCCTGCAGGTCCCACGCCCAAGGGTGTAACTAGACTCTGTTCCCTTACCAGCAGGGACCCCGCTGTTAGGGGTCAAGCCAGGCTCCTCCCTCTCTCCATGAAGAGCGGGGGGAACCTCCCCTGGGGCACCGAGCCCCCCGCCCTGAGAGGACCCTTAGCCCCCCTCCCCCTTTGCAGCTAGGCCCCGCCTCCTTCCATCAGAGGGGGGAGCTTCCTTTGGTACAGCTAGGCCCAGCCCCCCCAGGAGGCAGGCCGGCCCCCTCCCTTCCCAGGCAGGGCCCTGCCCCCTTTCCACCTGGAGGGTGTGGGGTTCCGGTGACTCTCCGACTCCCCCTGCTGCTTGGCGGCCACCATCTCCAGGGCGTCATTGATTTCCTTCAGCATCATGTATCGTTTGCGCCCGTGAACCTGGTGGGGGGGAGAGAAAGAAAGAGGCGGGGGGGAGGGTCAGACTCCCCTCCCCCACAGGACAGGCCAACGCCCTCCAGTGCCCTCTAATCCCAGATCCCCTCAAATTGCATACAGGATGGATGGACCCCACTCCCCTGCCAGAGCTGGGGATAGAACCCAGGAGTCCTGGCTCTCAGCCCTCCCTGCTCTAACCACTAGAGCCCATTCCACTCCCAGAGCCAGGGAGAGAAGCCAGGAGTCCTGAACCCCCAATTTCCCCACCAGGACTCACCTCGAGGAGGAAGACCTCTTTCTCGGGGGACACCACCCGCTTCTTGGGGTTCTCAGCTGTTTCCATGCTGGCCTGGAGAGCTGCAGGGGGTAGGAAAAGCACATGTCAAGCCCTTCACCCCCTGGGAAAGTCAAGCTGCCCTATTCTGGGGAATAAGTATTGAACGAGCTTCAAAAAGTTAAAGCTTTATAACCGCCAAAACCCCCAAATTGTCCTCAGCGCCAGTCAAAAATATTACCAAGTGAATATCCTCAATCCTACTCTCAACAGATCGCAAGAGCATCCATCCTGCTGGAGAATTTATTTGTGTTTGATTGAAGAATATTGACTTTAGTTTGCCTATCTGCCAATTTCTACTGTTGATGGAAATATTTGGTCACTGGCTTGCATGGGCGAGGCGAATGGACGTTTACTGACATTTCCCGATAAATAGATTAGAAAGACAGAAGAACGGATCATTGATGGTTGTAAGACAAGTGTCATCAATGGGTCCGACCGTCGGAAGAATGGATCATTGACGGTTGTAAGACAAGCGTGATCAATGGGTCCGACCGACGGAAGAATGGATCATTGATGGTTGTAAGACAAGCGTGATCAATGGGTCCGACCGATGGAAGAATGGATCATTGACGGTTGTAGGAGAAGTGTGATTAATGGGTCTGACCGACGGAAGAATGGATCATTGTTGGTTGTAAGACAAGCGTGATCAATGGGTCCGACCGATGGAAGAATGGATCATTGATGGTTGTAGGAGAAGCGTGATCAATGGGTCCGACCGACGGAAGAATGGATCATTGATGGTTGTAAGACAAGTGTGATCACTGGGTCCGACCGTCGGAAGAATGGATCATTGATGGTTGTAAGAGAAGTGTGATCAATGGGTCTGACCGACGGAAGAATGGATCATTGATGGTTGTAAGACAAGCGTGATCAATGGGTCCGACCGACGGAAGAATGGATCATTGATGGTTGTAAGACAAGCGTGATCAATGGGTCCGACCGACGGAAGAATGGATCATTGATGGTTGTAGGAGAAGTGTGATTAATGGGTCTGACCGACGGAAGAATGGATCATTGATGGTTGTAAGACAAGTGTGATCAATGGGTCCGACCGACGGAAGAATGGATCATTGATGGTTGTAAGACAAGCGTGATCAATGGGTCCGACCGATGGAAGAATGGATCATTGATGGTTGTAAGACAAGCGTGATCAATGGCTCCGACCGATGGAAGAATGGATCATTGACGGTTGTAGGAGAAGTGTGATCAATGGGTCCGACTGACGGAAGAATGGATCATTGACGGTTGTAGGAGAAGTGTGATCAATGGGTCCGACCAACGGAAGAATGGATCATTGATGGTTGTAAGACAAGTGTGATCAATGGGTCCGACCGACGGAAGAATGGATCATTGACGGTTGTAAGACAAGTGTGATCAATGGGTCCGACTGACGGAAGAATGGATAATTGACGGTTGTAGGAGAAGTGTGATTAATGGGTCTGACCGACGGAAGAATGGATCATTGATGGTTGTAGGAGAAGTGTGATCAATGGGTCTGACCGACGGAAGAATGGATCATTGATGGTTGTAGGAGAAGTGTGATCAATGGGTCCGACCGACAGAAGAATGGATCATTGACGGTTGTAAGACAAGCGTGATCAATGGGTCCGACTGACGGAAGAATGGATCATTGACGGTTGTAGGAGAAGTGTGATCAATGGGTCCGACTGACGGAAGAATGGATCATTGATGGTTGTAAGACAAGCGTGATCAATGGGTCCGACCGACGGAAGAATGGATCATTGATGGTTGTAAGACAAGTGTGATCAATGGCTCCGACTGACGGAAGAATGGATCATTGATGGTTATCGGTAAATGGAATAAAAAATCTTGGTGAAATTTCTATTATTCCCAGGTGGAATTGTTAAGCACTAATGCACGTCAGACTGGCCAATCAAGTTGGGTCGATTTCAGCTTCGACGTCTTGCTGGTGCTGAATTAAGGACATTGACTCCCATTTGGGTAAGTCCCTATTGGCCCCACCCCCTCAGGGGCCCCACCCCCACCCTCTTGGCCCCTCCCTTCACACTCACCTTTGGCTCCACCCCCTCAGAACCTCACACTTCCCCTTCCACCTGCCCGCTCAGATCCCCACCCCAAACTCCTTTCAGTTCCTGGGCCCGCCTCCGCACTCACCCCTCTTGGCTCTGGCCCCTTTGAGGGTCCCGGCCCCGCTAAGGACCCTGCCGGTCAATTTCTTTTGGAAATTCTCCTCCTCTGTCCTGCGGTCCCGTCCGGGGCAGGCGCAGACTCGAACCTCGAAACATCGGCGCCCCAGGAGCTGCCCGCTGCGCCGGAAGGGTAGAGAACGGACATTAGACACAGACAGGAACCCAAGAGTCCTGGGTCCCAGCCCTCCCCTCTCCAATCTCACTCCCCTCCTGAAGCCGGGGATAGAACCCAGGAGTCCTGGCTCAGTAGCACCCCCCGAATCTCACTGCCCTCCTGGAGCTGGGGATAGAACCCAGGAGTCCTGGCTCCCAGCCCAACAGCTCCCCAATGCCTCATGGCTGAATGGGGGTACACAGGATGTGGGGGGTGGTCAGTTCTCTCCCAAGTGCTGGTCCCCGAGGGGAGGCAACTCCAGCCCTGGCAGGGGGCTACGAGGCGGGGGCCCGTGGAGGGCTGGTTGGGGGGCACTTACTGCTTGCCCTCCAGAGTGATGATGGCCAGGATGGGGCGCCGGTTCATGCCCCCCATGCAGGAACTGTTGCACATGAAGTTATACAGCACGGTGGTGCAGTCGGACCCCACCTGCAGGGCAGAGAGGGAATTGCAATGATGCCAGGGGCCCCTACCGGGGACAGGCCCCGTGCCCCATTCCCCACCCCCCTGAGCCAGACAGTCCCCGCCCTGGGGCCGGATGGGAGCCAGTGCCCCCTGGAGGGGACAGGCCCCATGTCCAGGTACCTGGGGCATCTCGTAGGGCACCGTGACACTCTGGCGCTTGGTGTTTTCATCGTCGTGGTAATGTGCCTGCTGGTTCCCCTCGATCCGGATCAGGTGACGGGCTGGTGCGACCCCTGTCACGAGAGACGAGGGGGCAACTCAAGGGGGGACACCTCTGGGCCCCATATCCCCACTCCCTAACATCCAGCCTTCTCCTCCGGCAGATCAGAGCCAGGACTCCCCATCCCAAGATCCCTCCAGCTGGGTTTCACACACATACACCCCATGCAGCAGGGAGTTCCACAGGTCGCCACCCTCCCCAGCCACGCCCCTCACCATCGCTGTACTCCATGCAGCGCTCGTGGTGGGGGCAGCGTCTCACCACCTCGGCCACGTGCTCCGATTTCTTGTAGACGGCCGTGGCCCGGACGATGGAACCGGGCGGGGGCTGGCTGGCCATCTTGATCTGCACGGGGCAGGTCTTCGCCAGCTGGCAGAAGAGCTTGTTCAGCTCCGGGGAGTACTGTGGGGGTACGGAGACGGGGGTCAGCAGGGGGTGCTTTCCCCTGGCAGGCAGGGCTGGCCCCAGGGCAGCACTAGGGGGCGCGGTGGGGCAGGGGGCTCAGCAGGGGACGCCCTCCCCTGGCAGACAAGGCTGGCCCCAGGGCGGCGCTAGGGGGCGCTGTGGGGCAGGGAGCAGGGCAGGGGCTCATTTGGGTTGCTTGCCCCCCAGTCCTCCCTGGAATGCTGCTTCCCCCAGCCAGGTCCGTACGGTGCAGGTGACGGACTTGGCGGTCCCCGACTGCTGGAAGGTCAGCTCGAATCCATGCTCCCCAGCGTAATCCTCGGTGGAGGGGACGGTGGAAGAGGTGGGAGGCGGCTCCGGGGCCGGCCCGGGGAGCTCCCAGCCCTCGTCGCTCCCCCCAGCCTGCGGGAGCAGGAGGGAGGGGTCCGCCGAGTCAGACAGGCCCAGGCCCAGGTCCGGGTCCGGGAGGCTCTGTGGGGGAGACATGGCGAGCGAAGGGTTAATGCCACAGCCCAGGCTCTCCCCACACCCCCAACCGACCTCAGCCCCTCACTGAATCCTCTGCCCCCTCCCTCAACCCTGCCTTCTAACTCGGATCCAGCCAGCCCCACGGCCTCCCGGCCCCCAGCCCCTCACCATACCCCTGCCATTCTCCCATGTCCCACTGCACCCATAGTCCCCCCACTGCTCTCCAGCCCCCTGAGTCCACCCTAGTGGGTTAGAGCAGGGGGGAGCTGGGAACCAGGACTCCTGGGTTCTCTCCCCGGCTCTGGGAGGGGAGTGTGGCCAAGGGGGTGGGGGCGTGGCTGAGAGACAGGACTCCTGGGTTCTATTCCCCACTGGCCCCCAGCACTTACAAACAGCTCCTGGTTCTCTGGTGCTGTGGGATCCACATTGGTGGGCTGCAGCCTATTGAGAGAGACAAGAAAGATAAAAATTTGTGTGTGGGGGGGGATCCAAGCTGTCCCCTCCGGCCCCCGCACCATGCAAACGGAACCCAGCTCTGCTCTGCCCCTCTCTGAGCTCACCATACCTAAATTACCAGGGGTTTGGGGCATGCGGGGGCAGGTATTGAGAAGGGAAAGTGGGGACGATTATGTTAGGGAAGGCGGGGTGAAGCCCGGGGGGGGCTAATAATCTGGGTGGAGGGGGCAAGGAGCGAGGGGGTCCCCCCGACACTTACATCATGCTCCACCAATCAGAGAAGCTCTCCTGGCTCAGGGGTGGCTCCAGCCCGGGGTCCAACATCGGCTCCATTCTAGCTGTTTCCTAGAGGTAGGGTGACAATCAGAGAGAAGGGTTAAGGTGAAATTGAAAGTTGGAGTGAAATTAGAGATAAGGGTTAAGTTGAAATTAGACATAATAATGGTTAAGGTGAAATCAGAGGTAAGGGTTAGGATGAAATTGAAGGTTAGGGTGAAATCAGAGATAAGGGTTAAGGTGAAATTAGAGATACCGGTTAAGGTGAAATTGGAGGTTGAGGTTAGGGTGAAATCTGAGATAAGGGTTAGGGTGAAATTGAAAGTTAGGGTGAAATTAAAGGTTAGGGTTAGGATGAAATTGAAGGTTAGGGTAAAATCAGAGCTAAGGGTTAGGGTGAAATTAGAGATAATAATGGTTAGGGTGAAATCAGAGGTAAGGGTTAAAGTGAAATTGAAGTTTAGGGTTTGGGTGAAATCAGAGATAAGGTTTAAGGTGAAATTAGAGATAAGGGTTCGGGTAAAATCAGAGATAAAGGTTAGGGTGAAATTGAAAGTTAGGGTGAAATCAGAGATAAGGGTTAGGGTGAAATTGAAGGTTAGGGTTAAGGTGAAATCAGAGATAAGGGTTAGGGTGAAGGCAAGGGTGGGTGAGAGGGGTCAGGGTTTGGAAAGGGGTAGCAGGGTTCGAGTTACCCCTCTTGTTCCTAGAGGTATGAATCTGGCTGGATTAAACACACATTTTGTACACCCAGCTTCCGAAGTCGCTCTGTAGGCCGGCCCCGGCCCCCTCTCTATTTCCCGCTCTGCCAATCTCCTGCCTGACGCAGTGTCACACAACCGTCCAGACCCATCGAGAAAAACTCCACATGGCGTCAGGCACAGATCCCTGCAGGACTCCGCTTGGGAAGCCCCCCCAATTTAAGCATGCATCTGCCGGGGGCCAGGTCTGTCCGCCGGGGAATGCTATTCATAACAGCGTTGCGCTATTTTGAATCCCAACTCCAGTTACCTTTACGAACCTGACTTGCAAAAGGTTTGTTTGACAAGGCCCATTTCCCATAAAGCCCCATTGACGGGCTTTAATCTCTAGCCCTCTATCTCTAGCCCTTCCTCAACTGAATCCCGTAGCAGCTAATGGGCCTATATCCGGGGCATCCCCCTTTCGGCACAACATCAGCACTATTCTGGAATTTCCCCGGCCTTGCAAGATTTACTATGTATTAACATTGGCGAGCCAGAGACCTCCCTCGGCCAACTCGATGGGAACTCTTGGATACCAGTTATCCCGGCCTGCTGATTTAAAAATGTTGATCTGGAGTGGATGATGCTTAATATCAAATAACCTCCTTGGTTAGTAACAGGCCAGAAAGTACCTCATCAGCCTCATGTGACATGGATACATCATCCTGCTCCTTCCCAAACATAGAACACCAATGTTTATTGATCGCTTCGCCCGTCTTTGCATCATTAACTGTTTTACTCTTTGCATCTAGCTTTACTCTTTGCATCTACAATTTCTTCTGCTCCTAATATATACTTTAAAACACTCCTTATTGTCCTTCACCCTGCCAGCTTTTTTCTTCTCATGTCTTTAGCTTCCCTTAGCAATTTCCTACACGTCATAACTTCTAATTGATTGCAATCTATTTCCCCCCCTTTTTTTCCCATTTGTTGTACGTTTTTTTTATTTCTAACGGCTGCCTTCATCGCTGACACAGGATGGGCATTTAGCCAAATTTATTTCTGTCTCTTGCTGGCAGCTTTTGTGGATTTTTAAAGAACTCCCAATTCTCATATTTCTGTCTACACTTTTCCTCCGCTTTGGGAAACTAGCAGCATTAAGTGTGCATTTTACTGATGAGGAGCATCATCTGTTTGCCCATATCGAATGTAACCAGGTCACAAACACGGGTCCCTAGGCAACCACCAGTTTCCAGGCCAGAGATTAATTCATCTTTATTCATCATAGCAAAGTCCAAAATAGAGACGCCTCGTGGTGGGTGCAATTTCTGCTTGTGTTAGAAAAATACCGGCTAGTGGTTAGAGCAGGGGGGCTGGGAGCCAGGACTCCTGGGTTCTATTCATGGCTCTGGGAGGGGAGTGGGGTCTGATGGTTAGAGCGGAGGGGGGGGGGAGGGCTGGAAGTGAAAGTCTCTGCTACTTTCCCCTCCCACATCAGAGTGGGGTTTGGCGCAGACGCAGGAAGAGCCGCGCACCGGGCTGGGGACTGGGCCTTTGTGCACAGCAACATGGGGCTGGAAGGGACCTGGGGGGTCACTGAGTCTCCCTCCCCTCCCCTGCTCCTCCCTCTTTCCCTCACACTCCTCCCTCGCCTCACCTGCTCCTCCCCCTTTCCCCCCACTCCTCCCACCCCCTCCCCCACTCCTCCCTCCCCTCACTTGCTCCTTCCCCTCGCTCCCCCTGCCCCCCTCTTCTCCCTTCCCCGTTTGCCCCCCAACTCCTCCCCTGCCTGTCCCCCCTCTTCCCTCCCCCACCTCCCCACCCTCTCCCTGCCTGTGCCCCCCACTCCTCCCCCACCTCCCTTCCCTCACCCCACTGCTCCCCCACTCCTCCCTCCCCCTGCCTCTCCCCCCTCTCTTCCCTCCACCCATTGCCCCACCCACTCCTGCTTGTCGCCCCGCCCACTCGACGTCATCGGAACGTTCCAGGCAGCCCCAAGGAGGGAGAGGCACCGGGCGGGCCATACCATTCCTGCCGGAGAGGGGGACGACGCCTTCAAGACCCTCCCAATAGCTCAAGGTTTAACGCACACACCCCCCCGCCCTTGTGCACGGAAGCTTGGGTGGGGAGCTCCCCTCCCCTTCCCGCTATGTACCTGGCGCCTTCAACCCTGAGAACATACTCCTCGCACACACACTTTGTCTGCCCCCCCTGTTTCGCATAATGGTGCCTTCCAATGGCAAGGGTAAGAGAGGGCAGGCGGGCCCTACCATTCTGGAAACGGGGAAGGGGTGTGTGTGTTTGAAAAAACGGTTCAAATCCTTTCAAATGGGGGGGAACAGACCCATCCCTCATGCAATACAGACAGGCAACAAGCGGGGAGGGGGACTGCTCAGGACGGGGGGAACAAGGTTCCCCCTTAAAAATATAGCGCTCCCCCTCCATTAAGACACAATGGGCTGGTCCAGGATGAACCAAGACTGGAATGGAGGAAGGGGGGGAGGAGCCAAAGTCCTTTCTCGCTGAGACACGTCCCCTCCCCTCTCGGGAGAAACCAAAATAGCCCCAGAGAGAGAGGCTGGCGCTGCATGGTTTGGCCTTTTCTGCTGCCCTCCCCCATGCACCCCCCCACCGCTCCAGCCAGAGCCCCTATGCACCCCCATCCCATTGCCCCACCCCCAGCCAGGGTCCCATGCACCCCCCACTGCTCCAGCCAGAGCCCCTATGCACCCCCATCCCATTGTCCCACCCCCAGCCAGGGTCCCATGCCCCACCCCCAGCCAGGCCCCTATGCACCCCCATCCCATTGTCCCACCCCCTGCCAGGGTCCCATGCACCCCCCACCGCTCCAGCCAGAGCCCCTATGCACCCCCATCCCATTGCCCCACCCCCTGCCAGGTCCCCTATGCACCCCCATCCCATTGCCCCACCCCCTGCCAGGTCCCCTATGCACCCCCATCCCATTGCCCCACCCCCAGCCAGGTCCCCTATGCACCCCCATCCCATTGTCCCACCCCCTGCCAGGGTCCCATGCACCCCCCACCGCTCCAGCCAGAGCCCCTATGCACCCCCATCCCATTGCCCCACCCCCTGCCAGGGTCCCATGCACCCCCCACCGCTCCAGCCAGAGCCCTATACCCCATCCCATTGTCCCACCCCAGCCAGGGTCCCATCACCCCCACCGCCCAGCCAGACCCCTATCACCCCATCCCATTGTCCCACCCCAGCCAGGGTCCCATGCACCCCCATCCCATTGCCCCACCCCTGCCAGGTCCCCTATGCACCCCCATCCCATTGCCCCACCCCCAGCCAGGGTCCCATGCACCCCCACTGCTCCAGCCAGAGCCCCTATGCACCCCCATCCCATTGCCCCACCCCCAGCCAGGTCCCCTATGCACCCCCATCCCATTGCCCCACCCCCTGCCAGGCCCCTATGCACCCCCATCCCATTGCCCCACCCCCAGCCAGGGTCCCATGCACCCCCCACCGCTCCAGCCAGAGCCCCTATGCACCCCCATCCCATTGCCCCACCCCCTGCCAGGGTCCCATGCACCCCCCACTGCTCCAGCCAGAGCCCCTATGCACCCCCATCCCATTGCCCCACCCCCAGCCAGGTCCCCTATGCACCCCCATCCCATTGCCCCACCCCCAGCCAGGGTCCCATGCACCCCCCACTGCTCCAGCCAGAGCCCCTATGCACCCCCATCCCATTGCCCCACCCCCTGCCAGGGTCCCATTCACCCCCCACTGCTCCAGCCAGAGCCCCTATGCACCCCCATCCCATTGCCCCACCCCCTGCCAGGGTCCCATGCACCCCCCACCGCTCCAGCCAGAGCCCCTATGCACCCCCATCCCATTGCCCCACCCCCAGCCAGGTCCCCTATGCACCCCCCACTGCTCCAGCCAGAGCCCCTATGCACCCCCATCCCATTGCCCCACCCCCAGCCAGGTCCCCTATGCACCCCCATCCCATTGCCCCACCCCCAGCCAGGTCCCCTATGCACCCCCATCCCATTGCCCCACCCCCTGCCAGGTCCCCTTGCACCCCCATCCCATGCCCCACCCCCAGCCAGGTCCCCTATCACCCCCATCCCATTGCCCCACCCCCAGCCAGGTCCCCTATGCACCCCCACCCATTGCCCCACCCCCGCCAGGTCCCCTATGCACCCCCATCCCATTGCCCCACCCCCTGCCAGGGTCCCATGCACCCCCCACTGCTCCAGCCAGGTCCCCTATGCACCCCCATCCCATTGCCCCACCCCCAGCCAGGGTCCCATGCACCCCCCACCGCTCCGGCCAGAGCCCCTCCCCCCATCCCATGCCCACCCCCCCAGGCCCACCCCCATCCCATTGCCCCACCCCCAGCCAGGTCCCCATGCACCCCCCACTGCTCCAGCCAGAGCCCCTATGCACCCCCATCCCATTGCCCCACCCCCAGCCAGGGTCCCATGCACCCCCCACCGCTCCAGCCAGAGCCCCTATGCACCCCCATCCCATTGCCCCACCCCCAGCCAGGGTCCCATGCACCCCCCACTGCTCCAGCCAGGTCCCCTATGCACCCCCATCCCATTGCCCCACCCCCTGCCAGGGTCCCATGCACCCCCCACCGCTCCAGCCAGAGCCCCTATGCACCCCCATCCCATTGCCCCACCCCCAGCCAGGGTCCCATGCACCCCCCACCGCTCCAGCCAGAGCCCCTATGCACCCCCATCCCATTGCCCCACCCCCAGCCAGGGTCCCATGCACCCCCCACCGCTCCAGCCAGAGCCCCTATGCACCCCCATCCCATTGCCCCACCCCCTGCCAGGGTCCCATGCACCCCCCACCGCTCCAGCCAGAGCCCCTATGCACCCCCATCCCATTGCCCCACCCCCCAGCCAGGGTCCCATGCACCCCCCACTGCTCCAGCCAGAGCCCCTATGCACCCCCATCCCATTGCCCCACCCCCAGCCAGGTCCCCTATGCACCCCCATCCCATTGCCCCACCCCCTGCCAGGGTCCCATGCACCCCCCACCGCTCCAGCCAGAGCCCCTATGCACCCCCATCCCATTGCCCCACCCCCTGCCAGGGTCCCATGCACCCCCCACCGCTCCAGCCAGAGCCCCTATGCACCCCCATCCCATTGCCCCACCCCCAGCCAGGGTCCCATGCACCCCCCACTGCTCCAGCCAGAGCCCCTATGCACCCCCATCCCATTGCCTCACCCCCAGCCAGGTCCCCTATGCACCCCCATCCCATTGCCCCACCCCCAGCCAGGTCCCCATGCACCCCCCCCGCTCCAGCCAGGTCCCCTATGCACCCCCATCCCATTGCCCCACCCCCAGCCAGGTCCCCTATGCACCTCCATCCCATTGCCCCACCCCCAGCCAGGCCCCCAAGCACCCCCCATTGCTCCAGCCAGGGCCCCATGCAGCCCCCAGTTCCCCAGACAGACACCCCCCCAAGTAATCCCCCCGTGCACTGCCCTGTCCAGGCCCCTCCTGCATCCCCTCAAAATGTAGACACCCCCCACCCCCGGTTTGCCAGGGACCAGCACACCCCACCCTTCATCAGGCCAAGATTCTGCACAAACCCTCCACCTCATTTAAGACGCTCCCTCCTTACCCCCCCCGCCCCGGGATTCCATATCTCTCCCCCCACACCTCCCCACCCCCACCCACACACTCGGGGGCCCCTTCTCCACCCTCATGGGCTACGGAGATGACCTGCCAGCCTCTAGATGTGTCCCCCACCCCCCAGGCCCTTCAGAAAAACTGGACAGTGCGTGGCAAGATTGTTTCATTGTTTCCTTGTCTCCCCACTCCCCGGACTGTCTGTTCTCTGTCTCTTGTCCGACACTTAGACTGTGGGGGGGCGGCAGGGAGCGTCTCTGTGTTCTGGATTCGTACAGCACCTGGCGCGGTCGGGGCCCGGTCCAAGACTGGGCCCAACGCAGGCCCTGTCGCGATACAAATAAGGAGGAAGAATTAATCATCGGCCCAAGTCCTCCGGACACCTTCCAGGATGGCCGGGGCGGGGAGCTTGGCGGGAGATTCCCTCCCTTTCGCTCTGCTATCTCCCCCACCCTGATCTCGATGTTCGGGGGGGCCGAACCCCGCAGATCGCAGCGTTCCAAGGGTCAGGACGCCCGCGGATCAGAACGTTACGTTGGAACCCTGTGGAGCCGGAAGTCCCACAGATCAGGACACCCCCCCTCGCCCCTTGCCCCCCGGCAGATCTCAACATTCCATGGCCAGAACCCCGCCACCCCGATGTGCCATGGGCCGAGTCTATTCCCCGACCCCCAATGGATCTTCATGTTCAACGGATCGGAACCCTCAGTGGATCTCAACGTTCCAGGGACCGGAACCCTGCGGATCTCAACGTTCCAGGGACCGGAACCCCGCGGATCTCAGCGTTCCAGAGACCGGAAGCACGCGGATCTCAGCGTTCCAGGGACCGGAACCCCATGGATCTCAGCATTCCAGGGAATGGAACCCCGCGGACCTCGACGTTCCAGGGATCGGAACCCCGCGGATCTCAGCGTTCCAGGGACCGGAACCCCGCGGACCTCGACATTCCAGGGACCGGAACCCCGCGGACCTCGACATTCCAGGGACCGGAACCCCGCGGACCTCGACGTTCCAGGGACCGGAACCCCGCGGATCTCAACATTCCAGGGAATGGAACCCATGGAGCTCAATGCTCCACGGATCAGAACCCTCAATGGATCTCAACCTTTAATGCATCAGAACCCCACAAGATCTTGGTATTCCACGGACCGGAACCCTATGGATCTCGACATTCCACAGACCGGAACCCCACGGATCGCGACGTTCCACGGACCGGAACCCCGCGGATCTCGACATTCCACAGACCGGAACCCCGCGGATCTCGACGTTCCACAGACCCAACCCTCGCAGAGCTCAGTGCTCCACGGATCAGAACCCTCAGTGGGGAACCTCAACGTTCTAGGGGCCGGAACCCGGCGGATCTCAACATTCCACCGATCGGAACCCTGCGGGTCTCAACATTCCACCGATCGGAACCCTGCGGATCTCAACATTCCACCGATCAGAACCCTGCGGGTCTCAACATTCCACCGATCGGAACCTCGCAGATCTCAACGTTCTACCGACCGGTCCCCCGCGGATCTCAGCGCCCCCGGGGTACTCCGCCTCCCCCCTCTTGAGCCGGAGCCAGACCAGAAGTGCTTTCATGACTCAGACCCTGATTCATAACCTCACAGCTTCACCCCAGCCCGGTCTCGACTCAGCTCTCGGGCCAGCATCACGGCCTCCCCCCGCCCCGTGCCTGACTCCGCCATCATCGCCACCCCGCACCGGGCCCCCTCCCAGCCCCCCAAAAGTCACCTCCGCGGAGATCTCCCCTCCAGTCTCTCTCCCGGGCACTTTGCATCCACATGCACGAGTTGGGGATTTCCCGGCGGCCCAGGATGCATTGCGCCGCTGCCTTGGCCACGTGACCGTGGGCACGGTGAGGCCATGGCCGCCATCTTTACTGTGGACAAAAAAAAAAAAAAAAAGTGGCTGGGCCGTGCTGGTTTCTGGGAGCCAGGACTCCTGGGTTCTCTCCCTGGCTCCGGGAGGGGAGTGGGAGCTGGTGGGTTAGAGCCGGGGGCGGGGCTGGGGGCCAGGACTCCTGGGTTCTCTCCCTGGCTCTGGGAGGGGAGTGGGGGCTGGTGGATTAGAGCTGGGGGGGCTGTGGGCCAGGACTCCTGGGTTCTCTTCCCAGCTCTGGGAGGGGAGTGGGGGCTGGTGGGTTGGGGCTGGGGCCAGGACTCCTGGGTTCTCTCCCTGGCTCTGGGAGGGGAGTGGGGGCTGGTGGATTAGAGCTGGGGGGGCTGGGGGCCAGGACTCCTGGGTTCTCTCCCCGGCTCTGGGAGGGGAGTGGGGGCTGGTGGGTTAGAGCTGGGGGGGCTGGGACTCCTCCACCCCAGTGGGAATTATCCACAGGCCGGAGGTAGCTCTCAGAGCTCTGATTCCCTGGCATGGGGGGGCCCTTGTTACCACCCCAGCTGCCAGTGGGCTTCTCAGGACCCAGCGGCAGGGGGTGGGAATAAGGGGTTCACGCGGGATCTTTCACCCCGGCACGTGCCCTGCTCGCTTGTCTTCCCATCCTCCAGCGTGTGGTTTCATCTGAGCCGCAGGCTTCCCGGACTTGGGAATTCCCCCCCCCCCCCCATCCGGCTCGGCAGCCAGATCCTGATCTTGTGGGGAGGGAGGGGGGGCCTGGACAGCTGTAAATCCCTGCGCTATATAGATCACAGGTGGCAGGCTGGAAGGCCACACCCAGCCCCATCGCCCGCCGGCCCCAGGTGGCCATGGAGTGCGTCTTCCGCCCGGCCCAGAGCACCGACTGCGACCACGTCATGGCCATGATCCGCGTGAGCTGCTGCGGGGCTGGGGTGGGGGCTGCTGGGGGCATCAGGATGCCGGGGTTCCCTTCCTGAGTGACTTTGGTCCCCTGGAAATGTTCTGTGCCTCAGTTTCCCCAGAGGCGGCGAACAATCTGTGCTCTGTTAATTCATCAATGCCTTGCCCCGTCCGTCCGTCCCTACACAGCTAATCTTATCTCTCCATCCCCAGACAACACCCCACAGTGTTAGGGTCCCGCCGCCCACCCTGAGTCTCGCTCGTTCCCAGGGTCTCTGTGTCACGGAGTCCTCGGGCGATGCTCTGGAACTGCTCCCTACGAAGCCAGGCAGGACTCTGGGGAAGTCTCCTCTCTATGAGCAGCCTGTCTGCAGGACACACAGCTCCCCCGGCTCCACCTTCCTGACCTCGGAGCATCCAGCATCCTCTGCACCTCCGTGCACTTCCCCCAGCGAGTCCGCTCAGACGGGGTCCTGGGGCAGCCAGAGGGTCCTGCCCCCCAACTCCGCAGTCAGACGGGACTCTCAGCCAGCCAGTAAAACAGAAGGTTTATTAGGCGACAGGAACATGGTCTAACACAGAGCTTGTAGGTGCAGAGAACAGGACCCCTCAGCTGGGTCCATTTTGGGGGGCAGTGAGCCAGACAACCCCGTCTGCCCTTCACTCCATGTCCCAGCCAGCCCCAAACTGAAACTCCCTCCAGCCCCCCCTCCTCTGGGCTTTGTCCCTTTCCCGGGCCAGGAGGGCACCGGATTCCTTTGTTCTCCAACCCTTTAGCTCTCACCTTGCAGGGGGGAAGGGCCCAGGTCATCAGCTGCCAGGAAACAGGGTGTTGGCCATTCTCTGTGTCCAGACCCCTGCCCACACCTGCCCTCTAGGGCTCTGCAAGGATCATACACCCTCATCCCCCACCTAGATACTTAAGAACGGCCTAGGGGAAACTGAGGCACCCCCACACTATTCAGAGAAAACATTAAGAACAGTTCTGCTTCGTCATGCTCTGGCTCTGTTTGTTCCCCCCAGGAGATTGCCGAATATCATAACAAGCTGGACAAGGTGACAATTAACTCCCAGGGTGAGCCAGACAGTGGGGGGCCGGGCATGGGGAGGGGACACCCCCAAACTCAGCCTGATCCACCCCAACTCACTTTGACCTCCCAACCTTCCCTGGAAACCTCCCCCAAATTCACCCCTCTGGCCCCCTTCTGGCCTTCCCCCCAAACTTCCCCCGAACTCCCAGTTTTCCCCAATCTCATTCCTGACCCCCCCCCAATCCTTCCCACCACCACCCCAAACTCCTCCCCACACCTGTTGTCTGTCTGCTCCATTTCTCCCTGTAGTGTTGGGGGCTGACAGGTTTGGAGGGGACCCCTTCTACCAATGTCTCGTAGCAGAACTGGCCCCAGAGCAAGAAGACAAGCAAGGTACGTAAATTCATAATCCTCGCTCCGGTGTCAATCAGGAGTCACTCTACTGGAGTGCACAGGACTGCTTCCCCTCTAGCTCACTCCGGTGTCAATCAGGAGTCATTCTTCTGGAGTTCACATGGCCATTTCCCCTCTTGCTCACTCCATTGTCATACTGGAGTCAATAGGTCCAATTCATAGAATCATAGAATATCAGGGTTGGAAGGGACCTCAGGAGGTCATCTAGTCCAACCCCCTGCTCAAAGCAGGACCAATCCCCAATTGAATCATCCCAACCAGGGCTTTGTCAAGCCTGACCTTAAAAACTTCTAAGGAAGGAGATTCTACCACCTCCCTAGGTAACGCATTCCAGTGTTTCACCACCCTCCTAGTGAAAAAGTTTTTCCTAAAATCCAACCTAAACCTCCCCACTGCAACTTGAGACCATTACTCCTTGTCCTGTCCTCTTCTACCACTGAGAACAGTCTAGAGCCATCCTCTCTGGAACCACCTCTCAGGTAGTTGAAAGCAGCTATCAAATCCCCCCTCATTCTTCTCTTCCGCAGACTAAACAATCCCAGCTCCCTCAGCCTCTCCTCATAAGTCATGTGTTCCAGACCCCTAATCATTTTTGTTGCCCTTCACTGGACTCTCTCCAATTTATCCACATCCTTCTTGTAGTGTGGGGCCCAAAACTGGACACAGTACTCCAGATGAGGCCTCACCAATGTCGAATAGAGGGGGACGATCACGTCCCTCGATCTGCTGGCAATGCCTCTACGTATACATCCCAAAATGCCATTGGCCTTCTTGACATGAAGGGGAAAGGAGTCCAGGAGAGCTGGCTGTATTTCAAAGAATCCCTATTGAGGTTACAGGGACAAACCATCCCGATGTGTCGAAAGAATAGTAAATATGGGAGGCGACCAGCTTGGCTTAACAGTGAAATCCTTGCTGATCTTGAACACAAAAAAGAAGCTTACAAGAAGTGGAAGATTGGACAAATGACCAGGGAAGAGTATAAAAATGTTGCTCGGGCATGTAGGAATGAAATCAGGAGGGCCAAATCGCACCTGGAGCTGCAGCTAGCAAGAGATGTTAAGAGTAACAAGAAGGGTTTCTTCAGGTATGTTGGCAACAAGAAGAAAGCCAAGGAAAGTGTGTGCCCCTTGCTGAATGAGGGAGGCAACCTAGTGACAGAGGATGTGGAAAAAGCTAATGTACTCAATGCTTTTTTTGCCTCTGTTTTCACTAACAAGGTCAGCTCCCAGACTGCTACGCTGGGCATCACAAAATGGGGAAGAGATGGCCAGCCCTCTGTGGAGATAGAGGTGGTTCGGGACTATTTAGAAAAGCTGGACGTGCACAAGTCCATGGGGCCTGATGCGTTGCATCCGAGAGTGCTAAAGGAGTTGACGGCTGTGATTGCAGAGCCATTGGCCATTATCTTTGAAAACTCGTGGCGAACCGGGGAAGTCCCGGATGACTGGAAAAAGGCTAATGTAGTGCCCATCTTTAAAAAAGGGAAGAAGGAGGATCCTGGGAACTACAGGCCAGTCAGCCTCACCTCAGTCCCTGGAAAAATCATGGAGCAGGTCCTCAAGGAATCAATCCTGAAGCACTTGCATGAGAGGAAAGTGATCAGGAACAGTCAGCATGGATTCACCAAGGGCAAGTCATGCCTGACTAATCTAATTGCCTTCTATGATGAGATTACTGGTTCTGTGGAAGAGGGGAAAGCGGTGGACGTGTTGTTCCTTGACTTTAGCAAAGCTTTTGACACGGTCTCCCACAGTATTCTTGTCAGCAAGTTAAGGAAGTATGGGCTGGAAGAATGCACTATAAGGTGGGTAGAAAGTTGGCTAAATTGTCGGGCTCAACGGGTAGTGATCAATGGCTCCATGTCTAGTTGGCAGCCGGTATCAAGTGGAGTGCCCCAAGGGTCGGTCCTGGGGCTGGTTTTGTTCAATATCTTCATAAATGATCTGGAGGATGGTGTGGATTGCACCCTCAGCAAATTTGCGGATGATACTTGTGACGAAGTGGGCCTGTTCTTAATGTTTCCTCTGAATAGTGTGGGGGTGCCTCAGTTTCCCCTATGCAGTTCTTAAGTATCTAGGTGGTGGGGTAAGGGTGTATGATCATTGCAGAGCCCTAGAGGGCAGGTGTGTGCAGGGATCTGGACACAGAGAATGGCCGACACCCTGTTTCCTGGCAACTGATGGCCTGGGCCCTTCCCCCCTGCAATGTGAGAGCTGAAGGGTTGGAGAACAAAGGAATCAGGTGACCACCTGGCCCGGGAAAGGAACAAAGCCCAGAGGAGGAGGGGCTGGAGGGGTTTTCAGTTTGGGGCTGGCTGGGACATGGAGTGAAGTGCAGACGTGGTTGTCTGGCTCACTGCCCCCAGAATGGACCCAGCTGAGGGGTCCGTTCTCTGCACCTGCAAGCTCTGTTTTAGACCATGTTCCTGTCGTCTAATAAACCTTCTGTGTTACTGGCTGGCTGAGAGTCACGTCTGACTGCGAAGTTGGGGTGCAGGACCCTCTGGCTTCCCCAGGAGCCCCGCCTGAGCGGACTCGCTGTGGGAAGCGCACGGAGGGGCAGAGGATGCTGAATGCTCCGAGGTCAGACCCAGGAAGGTGGAAGCTGTGTGAGCTGCGTGTCCTGAAGACAGGCTGCTCACAGAAAGGCGACTGCCCCAGAGTCCTGACTGGCTTCATGGGGAGCAGTTCCAGAGCATCGCCCAGGGACTCCGTGACAACTGGTGGCAGCGGTGGGATGTACTGCACCCCGTGGATGGCGCTTCCTGCAGTAAGTGACTGGGGAGCAGTAACACGAAGGGGGATTGCCGAGGACCAGGCCTGCTGAAGGCTCAGAGAGGAGCGGTTTCGGGGGCGGTTAACCCCTGGGAGTGTGTGACCAGCAAGAAGTACTGTGCAGTAATGGGGTCCCCCTGGGGACTGCAGTGAGCAGTCTCAGGGGCGGAGGAGTCTGCAGCTCGACCCTGGCAAAGAGGTGGTAACCTCGAGAAGGGCTGGCACACTAGGGGTTCTCCCTGGAAACCGTGGGGAGCTGAGAACACACGGGCCTGTGAGTCCACAACAACTTGGGAGGAGCGGAGTGATGGCCTGTCACCGTCTCCTTAAGAAGGACATTGTAACCCTGTGCAGAAAGAGAGGGCTGAGCGTTGGAAAGTTCACCAAAGCAGAGTTAATCGTGCAGCTGGAGGAGGATGACCGCTCTAAGGACAGATTCCTGACCCCAACTGGGGCTATAGCAGGATCTGGGAGCAGCTGGAGCGGGAGCCAGGCATCGCCAAGACTCCTGTCCCCGACCAGACGAGGGTCTTCACGATCGGGTTCCCCATCGGGGGATCGAGACGGACGGGATTGGAGCTGAGTCTGAGAGAGCAAGAGGACTGTGGGGGACAGCGAGAGCCCGAGAAAGAGCTGCAGAAGCAGCAGCAGCATGAACTGGCGGTGGTGGGGCGGAGAGGCCTAGGGGACCTCCCCGGGGTGAGTGGGGATAGATCCCGGGGGCCAGTTCCGAGGGAACCTCGAGACTAAATTGCGCCCCTGGTTAAGGAGGGGGGGTGTGGATGCCCACCTCACTGCCTTTGAGCAGGCTGGCGATTTGAACCAAGGGGACCCTGCGGAAAAGCCCCGGTGTCTAGCTCCCTTGCTGGGTCCCAAGGCCATAGACTCCGTCAGCCAGATGGTTGGGGATGTGGACAGGCTCCCACTCCTGACCCCAACCTATATGTCGTGTGGAGTTTCCTGGGGCCAGGCCCCTCGGACCCCAGTGGGAGCGGAAGGGGATGGTCAATGGGGAGACATTCCTGGGGTGGCGAGATCCTGGGACAGAGAGAACTGGTGTCAGGCCCGGGTGGTGCAGCCTCAGATGCTGAGGGCTGTGTGAGCTGGGTGAGGGTCCCAGGGACGAAGCCCTCGCCCTGCCTATGGCCCAGATCCCCGTGCAGACCCAGGAGGGGTGGGGCTGGCTGGTCGTTGGGGTGCTCCAGGACACCAGCTGCGAGACCCTGTTGTGGGGTGACTGTGTCTCTTTGGGACAGGATCCAGGCCCTGTTCCTGTAACTGCCAAGGGTTTGAATTTGAATCCAGGGAACCAATCGGCAGAGAGGGAAATGGTCAGTGAAAATGCAGATGACCTGGCTGGCAGCAGGGAGGAGCCGCTAGGCTCAGGCTACCTGCCTGCCTGTAACCAGACCCCTGGGGCTGGGTGGGACAGAGAGATGCTCCCTGCCCCCTTGCACACCAGACTGGGGACTCTCGCTGGCTCTGATGCATTGAGGAAAGCAGTGGCCTGCCCCCACTGGGACAGCAAGGGCAGCGCTGAGCACAGTGGGAGCTGAGACCCCAGCTGAGTGGGGGGAGACACAGGCAGGGCAGGGGATCTGTGGGGAGTGGCAAGGTGCTTGGTAAGGGAAGTTTGGATGAGCCTAGGCAGCCTTGTGAGCTGATGGCTGTGTCCAGTCAGCAGGGTGGGAAGGCGAGGAGAGTGGAAGATGAGAGTCCCTGGACCTTACCTGTTAGCTGGGTGGAGAATTGGGACAGTGAAGGAAATGGGTCTCTGTCTGTCAGGGGTATTGACTTGCCTATGGAGGGAGCTACCCTGATCTCCAAGCAGTTGTCTGTGACCAGCCTTGTGTGCTGGGACAAAGGGAATGAGATCCCAACCTGTGTGTCTGGTAAAGGAGAAAGTGTGTCCGGCTCTTCTTGGTCTGTGGAGCAGACAGAAGGGGCCTTTCAGCCTGTGATGGTTGAGGGTCGTGCAGTTGTCTCAGAGCTGGTTCTGGATTCAGCTAAAGCCCAGGAAGGGAAGGGTCTCCTGCTCGGGAGAATGGCCCTGTAACTAGGTCGCATCCAGTTAGGGTCTATGTAAAATCCCCGAGACCAGACAATTCTGGTGCTTGTATTTTGCCTGTTGCTAGTGTGTTGTTGGGAAAGGGTGTAGCAACTCTGTCTAATCAGGGTGAGATCCTAGCCAGGGCACAAGGAGAGCATGAAGGTGATGTGATTGTGTTACCTACTGAGGGTGTGGAAACCTGTAGCAAGAAGGAAAAAGATTCCTGAACTTGTGTGTGGCAAAGGGAAGGAGAATGCTTCTGACCTGTTATCTAGGAAGCCTGTAAGTTTGCCTGAAAGGGGATTGTGTAGGAATCCGCCTGATGGGCCAGAGGTGATTCTGGATGTAAGGGAGACCCAGAAAGAGTCTGTAGTTGCTCAGGAAAGTGTTCCCCTAGAGCAAGCCCTAGGTAAAGAGGGTAAGAGCAGAATTTCTGGGAGGGGTGAATTGTTGCATAGAAAAGCCCTTGGGAAAGGAATCCTCATGGAGTCTTTGCAAGCAGTTTACTGCAACTGAAGGGTGTGAAAATGATTTAATCAAGAAAGTTTCAGTTCCTAACAGCCAGAAATTTTCTGTTGTGAATGGGTCCACTGACTTTCCTGTTGAAAGATCCAGTGTGGAGAGCTTTGAGAAGGTCTCAGATGGAGTGAAAGCTGTTAAGAAAGGTATACCGTCCTATAACCAAGTGGCTGTGTTTGGCCAGCTTGTTGGGGAGACAAGGTTGTGGAGAAAGGGATGTCTCCATGCTAGTTCTGTAAGTGAACAGTATGTGGCCCAGGTCAAGATGGGGCCCTTAACCAAGAGAGCCCGAATTGCAGCCCTCCAGACTGGAGCTCTGGGAGAAAACCCAATCCCAGTTTGACCCCCTGGGGTTTTGGGGTGGCCAAAGGGCATGGGCTGCAGAAACCTTCCCACATGCAGCCTGCTAGTGCTATCGACCACCCCGACCTAAGGGAGGGCGTGAAACTGGAAGGGCCTGGTGTAACTCCTACCAAGGAATGGGAGAGATGCTGGGGCATCCATGGGAACATTGGTGGCTTCAAACTTCCCCAGGTCACCGGGTAAAGTGACCCCGCTCAGTTCGATCTCGAAGGGGGAGAGATGTGACGAAGTGGGCCTGTTCTTAATGTTTCCTCTGAATAGTGTGGGGGTGCCTCAGTTTCCCCTATGCAGTTCTTAAGTATCTAGGTGGTGGGGTAAGGGTGTATGATCATTGCAGAGCCCTAGAGGGCAGGTGTGTGCAGGGATCTGGACACAGAGAATGGCCGACACCCTGTTTCCTGGCAACTGATGGCCTGGGCCCTTCCCCCCTGCAATGTGAGAGCTGAAGGGTTGGAGAACAAAGGAATCAGGTGACCACCTGGCCCGGGAAAGGAACAAAGCCCAGAGGAGGAGGGGCTGGAGGGGTTTTCAGTTTGGGGCTGGCTGGGACATGGAGTGAAGTGCAGACGTGGTTGTCTGGCTCACTGCCCCCCAGAATGGACCCAGCTGAGGGGTCCCGTTCTCTGCACCTGCAAGCTCTGTTTTAGACCATGTTCCTGTCGTCTAATAAACCTTCTGTGTTACTGGCTGGCTGAGAGTCACGTCTGACTGCGAAGTTGGGGTGCAGGACCCTCTGGCTTCCCCAGGAGCCCCGCCTGAGCGGACTCGCTGTGGGAAGCGCACGGAGGGGCAGAGGATGCTGAATGCTCCGAGGTCAGACCCAGGAAGGTGGAAGCTGGGTGAGCTGTGTGTCCTGAAGACAGGCTGCTCACAGAAAGGCGACTGCCCCAGAGTCCTGACTGGCTTCATGGGGAGCAGTTCCAGAGCATCGCCCAGGGACTCCGTGACAATACTAAACTAGGAGGAGTGGTAGATACAGGAGTGGCAGGTAGGGATAGGATACAGAGGGCCCTAGACAAATTGGAGGATTGGGCCAAAAGAAATCTGATGAGGTTCAACAAGGACAAGTGCAGAGTCCTGCACTTAGGACGGAAGAATCCCAGGCACCGCTACAGACTAGGGACCAAATGGCTTGGCAGCAGTTCTGCGGAAAAGGACCTAGGGGTGACAGTGGACAAGAAGCTGGAGATGAGTCAACAGTGATTCCCCTCTCGCTCACTCCGGTGTCAATCAGGAGTCATTCTACTGGAGGTCACATGGCCATTTCCCCTCTTGCTCACTCCGTTGTCAGGCTGGAGTCAATAGGTCCGATTCCCCTCTCGCTCACTCCGGTGTCAATCAGGAGTCATTCTACTGGAGGTCACATGGCCATTTCCCCTCTTGCTCACTCCGTTGTCAGGCTGGAGTCAATAGGTCCGATTCCCCTCTCGCTCACTCTGGTGTCGATCAGGAGTCACTCCAGTGGAGTCAATGGGGCCAATTCCCATCTCATTCACTCCGGGGTCAATCAAGAGTCACTCCGTTGGAGCCAGCGATCTGGATCCTGAGCTAGTGTGAACCCAGAGTAGTTCTGACTCTGTGGCTTTATCCCCGTCTTAAACCAGGTCCAACCCCGCCTCTCGCTGGATCCGGACCTGGACCCCAGGTCCTGTGTGGTACCCCCCCTCCCCCAAGTCCATCCCTACCCCACAGTGGCTGGCCCCTGTTTGATCCCTCTCTCTCCCCCAGGTCACCTAATCAGCTACGTCTTATTCTTCTTTGGGTACAGTGTGAACACAGGCCGTATCGTCTACTTGGAGAATCTGTATGTGGTCTCTGAATTCAGAGGTAGGGTGCCATGCTGCGTCCTTTGGGGAATGAGCCACGGCGGGGGAGTGGATGGGGAGCAGGGGGAGTGAGAGGCAAAATCAGCCCCAGTGTGACTCCAGTGGAGTGACTCCTGATTGACTCCTGATTGACTCCGGAGTGGAGTGAACAGCAGGAATCAGCCTTGCAGTCAAGAGAGAAGGAAGAGCTTCTGCTGGTGCGTTTCGTAACTGTTCCAAGAGCCAGGATTGCTCAGCCAAGGGTCAAGGCCGCCCGCTCAGGATGACGGCCCCAGAAGACTCCACCCCCTCTGTTCAGGTCATGGCGATAATCTGCACCGCCGAGTCCATCAGTGGTTAACGAGCTAGGTAACAGGGATGTGGAAAACAAAGCAGGGGAAATGTGACGTCTCCCAGTAGGATAGCTCTGTCCTCTTAATGTGAACTAACGCTGTCAATCCGGAGGCACTCCGCTGTCGTTCACAGGGCTGGTTCCCCTCTCGCTCAATCCGGAGTCAATCGGGAGTCACTCCGCTGGCGTTCACAGGGCCAGTTCCCCTGTCACTCAATCCGGAGTCAATCAGGAGTCACTCCGCTGGCGTTCACAGCGCCGGTTCCCCTCTCGCTCAATCCAGAGTCAATCAGGAGTCACTCCGCTGGCGTTCACAGGGCTGGTTCCCCTCCCATTCACCCCGGTTTTGAGGACGGGGAGAAGGGGAGGAGACTATGGATGCTGATGGCGGGGGGGTTGGGAAGTGCCCACATGGACCCAAACGAACTGTAACCCCCTTTGCCGGGCTTTGGCTCCCTAGGCCCGGGGATCGGGAAGAAGCTGCTGAGTGAAATGGCTAAGGTAAGATTTTACCCCCTCTCCCTCTGCCCCACCCCCCAGGTTCTGCCCCCGCCCTCAGCCAACCCCAATGAGGGGGGAGGGATAGCTCAGTGGGGGAGGGATAGCTCAGTGGTTTGAGCATTGGCCTGCTAAACCCAGGGTTGTGAGTTCAATCCTTGAGGGGGCCATTTAGGGATCTGGGGCAAAAATTGGGGATTGGTCCTGCTTTGAGCAGGGGGTTGGACTAGATGACCTCCTGAGGTCCCTTCCAACCCTGATAGTCTGATTCTATGATTCTATGAGGGCAGGGGATTGGCACACGGGATTTGGGCTGGAGTGTCAGGTGATCAGGCACAAACCCCGCCCCCTTCTCCTTCACCCCACCCACCCCATCCCAGAGGGGGTGGGGCGGCCCCCCACTGGGGTCAGCAGCAGGCCCCGGGGGACATGCCCTCAAGGTGCCACTCTCAGTAAAGCTGGATTAGGGGAGGCTGGGATGGATTAATATGTCTGGATTGGGAGTAGGGGCAAATAGAGTTAACCTGTGTTGGTGTAGATTAAGAAGTCTGGATTGGGATTGAAGGTAGGTTGGGGATAGATTAAGTGGTTTGGATTGGGATTAGGAGTAGATTTGTATGGATTAAGCAGTCTGGATTGGGATTGGGGTAAATTGGGGACAGATTAAAGAGTCTGGATTGGGTTTAGAGTCAGATTGGGGATACAGTAAGAGGTCTGGTTTGGGATTCAGGCTAGATAATGTCGAGTTAAATAAAATGGACTGAATTAGAATTGGGGTTAGGTTTAGATAAACACCATCTGGATTAATATTAGGATGTGATTTGTTTTCTTGATTTGGATTATGGATAGTTGGATAAAGGTACCCTGGGTTTGGAATATATTTGTATAGCTGTGTCATGGATTCAAATGTCGCGCCCATTTTTGGCCCTGGATAGTCCCTTCAGGGCGAGAGCCCTTGTTGGCTGTCCACTCTCTCTCGGGGTTAAGCCCCCCCACCTCCTGGAATCACACCTCTCTGAGCCTTACCACGCCTGTCTCCCACCTCAGGGAGTCCCCTCGCTCTGGACCCCGGGACCTCCACTCCCAAACCCTCTTCTCTGGACCGGAGCGACTCTCAGCCAGTGTAAAACAGGAGGGTTTATTGAGCGTCTGAACCCAGCACAGGGCCCTCGGGCCTAGCAACCCCCATCTCTAGGCTGTTGTCTGCGGGTCCCGGCAACCAAATACCCTCTCTCACCACCTTGTTAAACTGAGGCGCTCCAAAAATCCCCAATTTCGTCACAAGCTGTAGTCGGGATTTGGGTGACAGGGCTCAATAGGTATAAGGGATTGAGAGTGGATTAAGTGGAGAGTGGATTAAGGCTAGTGTTATCTGGGGGAATCTGGATTAGGTGGAGATGGGGGAATCTGGATTAGGGTTAGAGGAGGAGTCAGTGTCAAGTGGAGAGGTGGAATCTGGATTAGGGTTAGAGGTCGAGTAAGGATTAGGTTTAGATGGTGGAATCTGGATTAGGATAGGAACACAATGAGTCTGGATTAGGATTAGAGGGCAGAATCATTTGGTTTTGGTTGAGTGTAGCACTTTAGACATCTGTATTAGGATTAGGGTTAGATTGGTATCTAGATTGGGATTAGGAAGGCCTGGATTGGGATTATGATTAGATGGGGCTGGATTAAGTTGGTGAGATTTGTCCATGCATGGATGCGCCTTCCCTCTGACCCGTCTGCTCCCCCATGCGGTGACCCGCCCCTCCCCGTCGCGGCAGGCGGTGCTGGCCCGGGGCTGCAGCGAGATGAAGTTCATGGTGGTGGCGTGGAACAGCCAGGCCCTGGCGTGGTACCGGCACCTCGGGGCCCAGGACAAGACGGAGGCGAGCGACTGGCACTGCTTCGAGCTGGGGGCCGAGGCCCTGCGCAGGCTGGCAGGGGACGGACGGTGATTCGGGGCCATGGGGAGCCGGGCTGGGGCCACGGAGCTAAACCAGCCGGAGCCCTCCGGGCCCCATGGAGTCCTGCGTCTGCACCCCACAGCCCTCCATCCCTCCTTCCATCCCACACAGCCCTCCATCCATCCAGCCCTCCTTCCATCCCCCATAGCCCTCCAGCCCTCCTTCCATCCCCCATAGCCCTCCATCCCTCCTTCCATCCCTCCTTCCCCTACAGCCCTCCTTCCATCCCACACAGCCCTCCATCCCTCCTTCCATCCCACACAGCCCTCCATCCATCCAGCCCTCCTTCCATCCCCCATAGCCCTCCAGCCCTCCTTCCATCCCCCATAGCCCTCCATCCCTCCTTCCATCCCTCCTTCCATCCCACACAGCCCTCCATCCATCCATCCCTCCTTCCATCCCACACAGCCCTCCATCCATCCAGCCCTCCTTCCATGCCACACAGCCCTCCATCCCTCCTTCCATCCCACACAGCCCTCCAGCCCTCCTTCCATCCCACACAGCCCTCCATCCCTCCTTCCATCCCACACAGCCCTCCATCCATCCAGCCCTCCTTCCATCCCCCACAGCCCTCCAGCCCTCCTTCCATCCCTCCTTCCCCTACAGCCCTCCTTCCATCCCACACAGCCCTCCATCCCTCCTTCCATCCCTCCTTCCCCTACAGCCCTCCATCCCTCCTTCCATCCCTCCTTCCATCCCACACAGCCCTCCATCCATCCAGCCCTCCTTCCATCCCCCATAGCCCTCCAGCCCTCCTTCCATCCCACACAGCCCTCCATCCCTCCTTCCATCCCACACAGCCCTCCATCCATCCAGCCCTCCTTCCATCCCCCATAGCCCTCCAGCCCTCCTTCCAGCCCTCCTTCCCCTACAGCCCTCCATCCCTCCTTCCATCCCACACAGCCCTCCAGCCCTCCTTCCATCCCCCATAGCCCTCCATCCATCCATCCCTCCTTCCATGCCACACAGCCCTCCATCCCTCCTTCCATCCCACACAGCCCTCCAGCCCTCCTTCCATCCCCCATAGCCCTCCATCCATCCAGCCCTCCTTCCATCCCCCATAGCCCTCCATCCATCCAGCCCTCCTTCCATCCCCCATAGCCCTCCAGCCCTCCTTCCATCCCCCATAGCCCTCCAGCCCTCCTTCCATCCCTCCTTCCCCTATAGCCCTTCATCCTTCCTTCAATCCCACACAGCCCTCCATCCCTCCTACACAGCCCTCCATCCATCCATCTCTCCTTCCCCTGCAGCCCTCCATCCATCCCTCCTTCCATCCCTCCATCCCACACAGCCCTCCATCCATCCATCCCTCCTTCCCCTACAGCCCTCCATCCATCCCTCCTTCCATCCCTCCATCCCACACAGCCCTCCATCCATCCATCCCTCCTTCTATCCCCCAAAGCCCTCCATCCATCTATCCATTCCTCCTTCCCTACAGCCCTCCATCCATCCCCCACAGCCCATCCTTCCTCCATCCATTCATCCCTCCCTCCCTCCATCCATCCCACACAGCCCTTCCTCCAGCCAGCCATCTATCTCTCCCAAGCACCCTCCATCCCGCCACACCCCGCCCTCCAGCCCCAGTACAACCAGGCGACGAAGTGGCTGCCGACACCAATAAACACGGGCCAGACTGGGGCTGGGACGAAGGCCTCTTGTCTCAGCACCTCGCAGCGCGGGGACCCTGGGCGGTTTGCGAACGCAGACAGGGGGACGACCATGGGCACCCCCGGGAGTGTCATCAGCTCCCCCGTGTGAGAGATGGGGAACCTGAAACGAACCACTAGCCCCCACTCCCCTCCCAGCACCAGGGAGGGAACCCAGGAGTCCTGGCTCCCAGCCCCCCCTGCTCTAACCTCCAGCCCCTGCTCCCCTCCCAGCACCAGGGAGGGAACCCAGGAGTCCTGGCTCCCAGCCCCCCCTGCTCTAACCTCCAGCCCCTGCTCCCCTCCCAGCACCAGGGAGGGAACCCAGGAGTCCTGGCTCCCAGCCCCCCCCTGCTCTAACCTCCAGCCCCTGCTCCCCTCCCAGCACCAGGGAGGGAACCCAGGAGTCCTGGCTCCCAGCCCCCCGTCCCATTGTCGCTGGGGTGACGCAGTCCCTGCAGGGATGGTGGCTGGGAGACCCGTTAGCAGTGGGGGGTGGTGGGAGCAGTGGGGGGGGGCACAGCTGGTGCTGAGCTCTGACAGCCTGGCGGGGGGAGTCTGCAGCCCCCCTGCCTGCAGCATCTCTCCAGCTTCTGGTGTGAGCAGGTCACAGGTGCCAGCTCTGATCCATCACCTCTGGGAGGGTGGGGGGGCCTTGCATCTCTCTCCTCTGCACATCTTTTCCTTTCTCTAGTGCCGGGGAGGGCCCCCTCTCCAGCATATTGATCGGGGCGCCTACCCCATTTCCGTCCCAGAGCCGAGGAGAGAACCCAGGAGTCCCGGCTCCCAGACCCCTATTCTAACAACTAGACCCCATTCCCCTCCCAGAGCCGGGGAGAGAACCCAGGAGTCCTGGCTCCCAGACCCCTGTTCTAACCACTAGACCCCATTCCCCTCCCAGAGCCGGGGAGAGAACCCAGGAGTCCCGGCTCCCAGACCCCTGTTCTAACCACTAGACCCCATTCCCCTCCCAGAGCCGGGGAGAGAACCCAGGAGTCCTGGCTCCCAGACCCCTGTTCTAACCACTAGACCCCATTCCCCTCCCAGAGCCGGGGAGAGAACCCAGGAGTCCTGGCTCCCAGACCCCAGTTCTAATCACTAAACCCCACTCCCCTCCCAGGGCGGGTCCCGGAGGACACTTCAGCAAAGACCCCCACTCATCTCAGTGCGCGGATTCCTGTTCTGTTCAGCCGCAGACAGACTGGGGGGGGGGGGGGGGGGGGGGATGTGACTTCATCACCCTGCCCCCCCCACCCCCCTCCAAGGACCGCCCTGCTGGGAGAAATTAAGGAAAAACTCATCATGTTTAATAGTCAACAGCTGAAAGGTCGGGGGGGGGGCCCCCCGCTGGGCCGAGGCCCGTTAACCCTCCCAGCACCAGAATCGAGGGTGTTGAAAGGGGGGGGCAGTGAGGGGTCACCCGCCACGGGGGGGTGTCACGGTGTGCCCGGGCCGGGCTCTGGAACTGCTCCCTACAAAGCCAGGCAGGATTGTGGGGACCCTCCTCTCTCGGAGCCGACTGTCCCCGGGGCAAGACGCTTCCCCAGCTTCCACCTTCCTGGGGCTGACCTCGGAGCATCCAGCCTCCCCTGCCCCACTGTGCGCTGTCCGCCCGGGTGGGGCTCCTTGGGGGGCCCTGCCCCCCAACTCCGCAGTCAGACGTGGCTCTCAAGCCGGCCAGTAAAACAGAAGGCTTATTAGACGAGAGGGACACGGTCCAAAACAGAACTATAGAGCCTCACACTCACCCTCTAAGGCTCTGCAACAATCACACCCCCTTATCCCACCACCTAGAGATCTTAAGAGGTGCCTAGGGGGAAACTGAGGCACCCCTAGAGTATTCAGAGGAAAGATTAAGAACAGCCCCAATTCGTCACATCTCTCCCCCCTTCGAGGCCGAACTGAGCGGGGTCATTTCAGCCGGTGACCTGGGGAAGTTCAAACCCGCCATGGATGCCCCAGCGTCTCTCCCGTTCCTTGGTGGGAGTTGCACCAGGCCCTTCCTGTTTCACACCCTCCCTTAGGTCGGGCGTGCCCGTTGGCACTCGCAGGCGGCACGTGGGGAGGTTTATGCGGCTCGTGCCCTTTGGCCACCCCAAAACCCCTGGGGTTCAAACTCAGATCGGGTCTTCTCCCAGCGCTCCAGTCTGGAGGGCTGCGATTCGGGCTCTCTGGGTGAAGAGCCCCCATCTTGACCTTGGCCAGCTCTGGGCTTTGGCGGCCGCTCCCCACCTTGTGGCCCAGGTATGACACCTCTGCCATCCCCACCTTGCACCTTCCAGCTTTTACCCTCGGTCCTGCCTCCTTGGGGCAGCCCAGCCCTCTTCACCGGGGACACGTGTTCCTCCCAGGTCTGGCTAAAGACCCAGATGTCCTCAATGGACGCCACGGCCAAGTTTTCCACCCCCACCCCCCCAGCTTGTCTAGAATCTCACCGGGCCTAGGCCTGGGGTAGGCATCGGACACGGTGAGGGCATTAAGCTTCTGATAGTCCCCACAGAATCGGATCGACCCGTCTTTCTTGGGGACCAGCCCCACGGGTGAGGCCCATGGGCTGTTGAACAGCTGGATCACCTCGAAAGCCAGCATGACCTTGACCTCTCTCTCCAGGCTCTGGGCTGTTTTCCCAGTGACTCTGATGGGAGGATTGGCTCCCACTTCAGGGAAGAGATCCACCAAGGGGTCTTCCCCCTTCTCCTCCCAATCGTCCCTTATCAGGTCTGGGGGTCCCCTCACTCTCCTCCCATCCAGCAGCTCCAAAGGGAAGAACCTGGTGGATTCCTGGGGCATTTCCCCGTACCGCAGGTGGGGCAGGTCCTTGTCCCCGTCCTGCGGATAAATCCTCAGCACCATCAAACTCTCTCCACCAGCCCGTTGGACTGAGGGTGATCTGCAGAGGCCCAGCTGGGCCAGACCCCCCATTTCTCCCACCAGCCCCGGAGCAGGGCTGACAGGACAGTGGACCCCTGGTCTGTAAGGACCTCGCTGGGGACCCCCTGCCATGGTGTCTGCCTCGGTGGAGGACAGAGCCCCCACCTCTGGGTAGCGAGATCCATCACCACCAGGACGTATTTCCTGGCTGAGGGGCCCCACTGTGTCCACAGCCACCTTCTGGAAAGGGTCCTCTATGATGGGCAGGAGTCTCAAGGGGGCTTCACCTTTATCCCGGCACTTCGCCACCCTCAGGCCGGGGTCGCCGGACCCGCAGTCCGGCCAGGCTGCGTCACAGACTCCGGGCCAGTCAAAGTTCTCTGGATCCCCTGGTGTCCCGAGAGAGGGACATCATGGGCCAGGTACGACAGCCTGCGGGGGTACTTCTGGGGCACCATCAGCCGCCTCCTGATCCTCCACAGTTCTGCTTCCCCTTGGGGAGCCCCTTCCCGGGACAGGAACCCCTTCTCCCACGGGGATCTGTCCCTGCAGCCTTCCCCAAGGGGGTTTGCAGCCTGCGGCCAGCTCGTTCCCTCAGCTTCTCCCCCCTGCCAGCCAGGTCATCTGCATTTTCACTGACCATTTCCATCTCAGCTCATTGGTTCCCTGGGTTCAAATTCAAACCCTCGGCCGTTACAGGAGCAGGGCCTGGATCCTGTCCCAAACAGACACAGTCATCCCCCAACAGGGTCTCACAGCCGATGTCCTGTTTCTACCCAACAACCAGCCAGCCCAACCCTCCTGGGTCTGCACAGGGATCTGGGCCCTAGGCAGGGCGAGGGGCTTCATCCCTGGGACCCTCACCCAGCTCACCCAGCCCCTCGGCCTCTGAGGCTGCACCACCCAGGGTCAGACAACCGTTCTCTCTGTCCCAGGGTCTCGCCGTCCCAGGAATGGCTCCTCATCAACCATCACCTTCTGCTCCCACTGGGGGTCCGAGGGGCCTGGCCCCAGGAGACTCCACACAGACATGCAGGTTGGGGTCAGGAGTGGGAGCCTGTCCACCTCCCCACCCATCGGGCTGACGGAGTCTGTGGCCTTGGGACCCAGCAAGGGAGCTAGACACCGGGGCTTTTCCACAGGGTCCCCCTGGTTCAAATCTCCAGCCTGCTCAAAGCCAGTGAGGTGAGCATCCACATCCCCCCCCGTCCTTAACCGGGGGCAGCAATTTAGTCTCGAGGTTCCCTGCGGAACTGGCCCCCCAGGGTCTATCCCCACTCACCCTGGGAGATCCCCTAGGCCTCTCCGCCCCACCACAGCCGGTTCATGCTGCTCCTTCTCCTGCAGCTCTTTCTCGGGATCTCACTGTCTCTCATGGTCCTCTTTCTCTCTCGGACTCAGCTCCAATCCCGTCCGTCTCCGATCCCCCGATGGGGAACCCGATCGTGAAGACCCCCGTCTGGTCGGGGACAGGAGTCTTGGGGATGCCTGGCTCCCACTCCAGCTGCTCCCAGATCTTGTAGCCCCATTTGGGGTCAGGAATCTGTCCCTTAGAGCGGTCATCCTCCTCCAGCTGCAGGATGAACTGTGCTTTGGTGAACTTTCCAACACTCAACCCTTCCTTTCTGCACAGGGTTACAATGTCCTTCTTCAGGAGACAGTGTCAGGCCATCACTCCGCCCTTCCCAAGTTGCTGTGGACTCATAGGCCTGTGTGCTCTCAGCTCCCCACGGTTCCCAGGGAGAACCCCTAGTGTGCCAGCCCTTCTCGAGGTCACCACCTCTTTGCCAGGGTTGAGCTGCAGACTCCTCCGCCCCTGAGACTGCTCATCGCAGTTCCCAGGGGGACCCCATTATTGCAACCGTCCTTCTCGCTGGTCACACACTCCCAGGGGTTAAACGTAGCTCCTTTGCCCCCTGAAACCGCCCCACTCCGAGCCTTCAGCACGCCTGGTCCTCATTAGCCCCCCTTCGTTTTACTGCTCCCCAGTTGCTTACTGCCGGATGCTCGGTCCATGGGGTGCAGTACATCCCACCGCTGCCACCAGTTGTCACGGAGTCCCCGGGCGATGCTCTGGAACTGCTCCCTACGAAGCCAGGCAGGACCCTGGGGAAGTCTCTCTCGGAGCAGCCTGTCTCCAGGGCAAGAAGCTCACCTGGCTTCCCCCTTCCTGGGTCTGACCTCAGAGCATTCAGCCTCCTCTGCCCCTCCGTGTGCTTCCCACAGTTGAGTCTGCCTGGGCAGGGTCCTGGGGAAGCCAGAGGGTCCTGACCCCCTGTTGGGGGGCTTATTCCTTCACCCACTTACTTCCCTGGTCCTTCTCGTATGAACAGAGAGCAACAATCCCCCAAGTCCAAAGGTGCAAACAATTCGATGTTTATTGGGGTGAACTTCCAGCAAACATGATTCCAGTTTCCTTCCCTTAGTGTCCCCCTTCCCAGCTCTGACACCACAGAGCCTTACACCTGTGTCCCTGTTCCCATTCCCCCCTTAGCAAAACATGATTCCAATTTCCCCATTCCCTGTCGCCATTTCTCACCCCCACCCCCCCACTTCCTGAATGACTGCAGACTGTACAGTAAAACTTGAGTTCTGCTTAGCTATACCTAAACCAGTCATTTTCCTGAAATTTAACTAACCAATTTAACTAACTAGCTCAGTGGTTTGAGCATTGGCCTGCTAAACCCAGGGTTGTGAGTTCAATCCTTGAGGGGGCCATTTAGGGATCTGGGGCAAAAATTGGGGATTGGTCCTGCATTGAGCAGGGGGTTGGACTAGATGACCTCCTGAGGTCTCTTCCAACCCTGATATTCTATGAATTGTAACATGATTATGTAACCATAGAATCATAGAATATCAGGGTTGGAAGGGACCCCAGAAGGTCATCTAGTCCAACCCCCTGCTCAAAGCAGGACCAATCCCCAATTAAATCATCCCAGCCAGGGCTTTGTCAAGCCTGACCTTAAAAACTTCTAAGGAAGGAGATTCCACCACCTCCCTGGGAAACCCATTCCAGTGTTTCACCACCCTCCTAGTGAAAAAGTTTTTCCTAATATCCAACCTAAACCTCCCCACTGCAACTTGAGACCATTACTCCTCGTTCTGTCATCCGCTACCACTGAGAACAGTCTAGAGCCATCCTCTCTGGAACCACCTCTCAGGTAGTTGAAAGCAGCTATCAAATCCCCCCTCATTCTTCTCTTCTGCAGGCTAAACAATCCCAGTTCCCTCAGCCTCTCCTCATAAGTCATGTGTTCCAGTCCCCTAATCATTTTTGTTGCCCTCCGCTGGACTCTCTCCAATTTATCCACATCCTTCTTGTAGTGTGGGACCCAAAACTGGACACAGTACTCCAGATGAGGCCTCACCAGTGCCGAATAGAGGGGAACGATCACGTCCCTCGATCTGCTGGCAACGCCCCTACTTATACATCCCAAAATGCCATTGGCCTTCTTGGCAACAAGGGCACACTGCTGACTCATATCCAGCTTCTCGTCCACTGTCACCCCTAGGTCCTTTTCCGCAGAACTGCTGCCGAGCCATTCGGTCCCTAGTCTGTAGCGGTGCATTGGGTTCTTCCGTCCTAAGTGCAGGACTCTGCACTTGTCCTTGTTGAACCTCATCAGATTTCTTTTGGCCCAATCCTCCAATTTGTCTAGGGCCCTCTGTATCCTATCCCTCCCCTCCAGCATATCTACCACTCCTCCCAGTTTAGTATCATCCGCAAATTTGCTGAGAGTGCAATCCACACCATCCTCCAGATCATTAATGAAGATATTGAACAAAACCACCCCAGGACCGACCCTTGGGGCACTCCGCTTGACACCGACTGCCAACTAGACATGGAGCCATTGATCACTACCCGTTGAGCCCGACAATCTAGCCAGCTTTCTACCCACCTTATAGTGCATTCATCCAGCCCAGACTTCTTTAACTTGCTGACAAGAATACTGTGGGAAACCAATTATATCCTACCGCCTTAATTACTTTACACCCAGCAAAATTAATGATACAGCAGACAGGAACAATCACAGAACCAGACAGAGATGATGCCGACAAACAGTGGCAAAGTGGGATATATAATGACGAAACAATACCGAAGTGGGGATTTCACATCCCAGCTATTGACAAGGGAGTTCTTGGCAGGCAGGATGCTATCAAACTTAAGTTTCCTTTTACATCTTCGAGGCACTTTCCTTTCTCTGGAGGCGATGGGCATTATCAGGACAGGAGTGTATTCCTAACGGCCCAATAGCACCTTCTTTCAATGTGACTAGTTCGGGACGTGAGGAGGTGACCGGTCGCTTCCCAGCTTGTGGCTGCCTCTGTTGCTTAGCCGAAGATTTTAGGGCCTCAGACTGTCACGGTAAGAGAAGGCCCTTACACCAGCAGACCGTGATTTTGATTCTTCCTTTTATACCCCTAACTAGCCAAGTGATAAGAACACGCCTAAATTCTTAGCGTACAGGCCTTCACCGACAGGCCTGAATAGCTATATCCGAACACTCCCCAACTCCGCAGTCAGACGTGACTCTCAGCCAGCCAGGAAAACAGAAGGTTTATTAGACGACAGGGACATGGTCTAAAACAGAGCTTGTAGGTGCAGAGAACGGGACCCCTCAGTCAGGTCCATCTTCGGGGGGCAGGGAGGCCAGAGCCCCATCTGGCCTTCCCTCTGTTTCCCCAGCCCGCTCTCCACTCCAGCTCTCTCCAGCCGTCTCCCCCGGCCAGGAGGCCACCTGATCCCTTTGTTCTCCAACCCCTTCAGTTGGCACCTTTGCAGAGGAGGGGGCCCGGGCCATCACTTGCCAGGAGACAGGGTGTCGGCCGTTCTCTGTGCGGACCCCTGCACACACCTGCCCTCTAGGGCTCTGTGACGATCATACACCCTTATCCCGCCACCTAGATACTTAAGAACTGCCTAGGGGAAACTGAGGCACCCACCCAGTCTTCAGAGAAACCATTAAGAACATTCCCACTTCGTCACAGGGGGGAGAGAGCAAAGCTGGTTCCATAAAGGGCCCTGCGAAACCCCACTCAAAACTGGGGAGAGAACCCAGGAGTCCTGGCTCCCAGCCCCACCCGCTCTAACCCACCAGCCTCCACTACCCACCCAGAGCGACAATGGTGTGTGTGGGGGGGAGCTGGGAGCCAGGACTCCTGGGTTCTCTCCCTGGCTCTGGGAGGGGAGTTCCCTCGTTACCACTCCAGCTACCAGTGGCTTATCAGGACCCGGCGGCGGGGGGCGGAAATAAGGGGTTCACACGGGATCTTTCACCCCTGGCACGGTGCCCAGCTCGCTTGTCTTCCCATCCCCCAGCGTGTGGTTTGATCCGAGCCGCCGGCTGCCCAGACTTGGGAATCCCCCCCCCCCCCCACCGCCCAGATCCAGCTCGGCAGCCAGATCCCGCCCAGCTGGGGAGCGGGCGGGGGGGAAGGGCGTGGACGGCTGTAAATCCTTGCGCTATATAGATCGCAGGTGGCAGGCTGGAAGGCCACACCCAGCCCCATCGCCCGCCGGCCACGGGTGGCCATGGAGTGCGTCGTCCGCCCGGCCCAGAGCACCGACTGTGACCACGTCATGGGCATGATCCGCGTGAGCTGCCGTGGGGCAGGGGTGGGGGCCGGCTGGGGGCTGCTGGGGGCATCGGGAAGCCGGGGTTCCCTTCCTGAGTGAGTTTGCCCACCCCGGAAATGTTCTGTGCCTCAGTTTCCACAGAGGCGGAGAACAGTCCGTGCTCTGTTAATGCATCAATGCCTTGCCGCATCTGTCCATTCCTACATGGCTAATCTTATCTCTCCGTCCCCAGGCAACACCCCACAGTCCATCTATCTAGCCCCACAGTGTTGGGGTTTCCCCCACCTACTCTGAGTCTTGCTCGTTCCCGGGGTCTCTGACTCTCTTTGTTCCCCCCAGGAGATTGCCGAATATCATAACCTGCTGGACGAGGTGACAATCAACTCCCAGGGTGAGCCAGACAATGGGGGGCTGCGTGTGAGGAGGGGACACCCCCAAACTCCGCCTGATCCCCCCACTCACTTTGACCTCCCAACCTTCCCTGGAAACCTCCCCCAAATTCACCCCTCTAGTCCCCTCCTGACCTTCCCCCCAAACTTCCCCCAAACACCCAGTTTTCCCCAACCCCTCTGACCCTCCCCATCCTTCCTACCACCACCCCAAACTCCTCCCCACACCTGTTGTCTGTCTGCTCCATTTCTCCCTGTAGTGTTGAGGGCTGACGGGTTTGGAGGGGACCCCTTCTACCAATGTCTCGTAGCAGAACTGGCCCCAGAGCAAGAAGACAAGCAAGGTATGTAAATTCATAATCCTCGCTCCGGTGTCAATCAGGAGTCACTCTGGTGTCAATCAGGAATCACTCTACTGGAGTGCACAGGACTGCTTCCCCTCTAGCTCACTCCGGTGTCAATCAGGAGTCACTCCAGTGGAGTCAATGGGGCCAATTCCCATCTCATTCACCCCGGGGTCAATCAAGAGTCACTCCATTGGAGCCAGCGATCTGGATCCTGAGCTAGTGTGAACCCAGAGTAGTTCTGACTCTGTGGCTTTATCCCCATCTTAAACCAGATCCAACCCCGCCTCTCACTGGATCCGGACCTGGACCCCAGGTCCTGTGTGGTACCCACCTCCCCCAAGTCCATCCCTACCCCACAGTGGCTGGCCCCTGTTTGATCCCTCTCTCTCCCCCAGGTCGCCTAATCGGCTACGTCTTATTCTTCTTTGGCTACAGTGTGAACACAGGCCGTATTGTCTACTTGGAGAATCTATATGTGGTCTCTGAATTCAGAGGTAGGGTGCCATGCTGCGTCCTTTGGGGAATGAGCCATGGCGGGGGAGAGGATGGGGAGCAGGGGGAGTGAGAGGCAAAATCAGCCCCAGTGTGACTCCAGTGGAATGACTCCTGATTGACTCCAGAGTGACTCCTGATTGACTCTGGAGTGGAGTGAACAGCAGGAATCAACTTTGCAGTCAAGAGAGAAGGAAGAATTTCAGCCGGTGAGTTTTGTAACTGTTTGTTCCAGAAGCCAGGATTGCTCAGCCAAGGGTCAAGGCCACCCGCTCAGGATGATGGCCCCAGAAGGCTCCACCCCGTCTGTTCAGATCATGGCGATAATCTGCACCGCCAAGTCTGTCAATGATTAAGAAGCCAGGCAACAGGGATGTGGAAAACAAAGCAGGGGCGGGGGGGGGGGGGGGAAATATGACGTCTCCCAGTTAAAGAAGTCTGGGCTGCATGAATGGACTGTACGGTGGGTAGAAAGCTGGCTAGATCATCGGGCTCAACGGGGAGTGATCAACGGCTCCATGTCATGTTGGCAGCCGGTATCAAGTGGAGTGCCCCAGGGGTCGGTCCTGGGGCCGGTTTTGTTCAATATCTTCATAAATGATCTGGAGGATGGTGTGGATTGCACTCTCAGCGAGTTTGCGGATGATACTAAACTGGGAGGAGTGGTAGATACGCTGGAGGGGAGGGATAGGACACAGAGGGCCCTAGACAAATTAGAGGATTGGGCCAAAAGAAATCTGATGAGGTTCAATAAGGATAAGTGCAGGGTCCTGCACTTAGGACGGAAGAATCCAATGCACCGCTACAGACTAGGGACTGAATGGCTCGGCAGCAGTTCTGCGGAAAAGGACCTAGGGGTGACAGTGGACGAGAAGCTGGATATGAGTCAGCAGTGTGCCCTTGTTGCCAAGAAGGCCAATGGCATTTTGGGATGTATACGTAGGGGCATTGCCAGCAGATCGAGGGACGCGCTCGTTCCCCTCTATTCGACATTGGTGAGGCCTCATCTGGAGTACTGTGTCCAGTTTGGGGCCCCACATGACAAGAAGGATGTGATAAAACTGGAAAGCGGCCAGCGGAGGGCAACAAAAATGATTACGGGACTGGAGCACATGACTTACGAGGAGAGGCTGAGGGAACTGGGCATGTTTAGTCTACAGAAGAGAAGAGTGAGGGGGGATTTGATAGGAGCCTTCAACTACCTGAAGGGGTTTCCAAAGAGGAGGGAGCTCGGCTGGTCTCAGCGGTGGCAGACGACACAACAAGGAGTAGTGGTCTCACGTTGCCGTGGGGGAGGTCTAGGTTGGATATTAGGAAACACTATTTCACGAGGAGGGTGGTGAAGCACTGGAATGCGTTACCTAGGGAGGTGGTGGAATCTCCTTCCTTAGAGGTTTTTAAGGCCTGGCTTGACAAAGCCCTGGCTGGGATGATTTAGTTGGGATCGGTCCTGCTTTGAGCAGGGGCTTGGACTAGACACCTGCTGAGGTCTCTTCCAACCCAGATCTTCTATGATAGCTGTGTCCTCTTAATGTGAACTAACGCTGTCAATCTGGAGTCACTCCACTGTCGTTCACAGGTCCAGTTTCCCTCTCGCTCAATCCAGAGTCAATCAGGAGTCACTCCGCGGGCGTTCACAGGGCTGGTTCCCCTCATTCACCCCGGTTTTGCGGGGGAGAGAAGGGGAGGAGACTATGGATGCTGATTGTGGGGGGGAGGGCAGTGCCCATCTGGACCCAAACGAGCTGTAACCCCCCTTTTCCGGGCTTTGGCTCCCTAGGCCGGGGGATCGGGAAGAAGCTGCTGAGTGAAATGGCTAAGGTAAGATTTTACCCCCTCTCCCTCTGCCCCACCCCCCAGGTTCTCCCCCCAGCCAACCCCAATGAGGGCAGGGGATTGGCACACGGGATTTGGGCTGGAGTGTCAGGTGATCAGGCACAAACCCCGCCCCCTTCTCCTTCACCCCACCCACCCCATCCCAGAGGGGGTGGGGCGGCCCCCCACTGGGGTCAGCAGCGGGCCCTGGGGGACATGCTCTCAAGGTGCCACGCTCAATAGAGCTGGATTAGGGGAGGCTGGGATGGATTAATATGTCTGGATTGGGATTGAGGATAGGTTGGGGATAGATTAATCATTCTGGTTTGGGATTGAGAGTAGATTAGGGATAGATTAAGGAATCTGGATTGGTACTAGGGTAGAATGGGGTAGATTAAAGAGTCTGAATTGGGAGTATGGGTTGATTGGGAATAGATTAATCAATCTGGATTGGGATTAGGGGTCGATTGGTGATAGATTAATCAGTCAGGGTTGGGATTAGGGGTAGATTGGGGATAGATTAAACCATCTGGATTGGGATTAGGGGTTGAATGGGAATAGATTAAACACTCTGGATTGTGATAGACTGGGGATAGATTGAGGAGTCTGGATTAGGATTAGAGTCAGACCATGGATAGATTAAGCAGTCTGGATTGGTGTTGGGGTAGATTTCGGATAGAATAAGAAGTCTGGTTTGGGATTTGGGCTAGATAATGTCAGGTTAAATAAAATGGACTGAATTAGAATTGGGTTTACGTTTAGATAAACACAGTCTGGATTAATATTAGGATGTGATTTGTTTTCTTGATTGGATTATGACTAGTTAGATAAAGGAACCCTGGGTTCGGAATATATTTATATAGCCGTGTCATGGACTCATGCCCACTCTTGGCCCCGTGCGGTCCCTGCGGGGGACCCCTTTCAGGGCGACAGCCCTTCTCGGGGCTCCACTCTCTCTCAGGGGTGCTATCTCTCCGAGCCATAGCATGCCTTGTCTCTTGCTGTGGGCCACCCCAAGGAGTCCCCTCGCTCTGGACCCCCGGGGCCTCCACTCCCAGAGGGAATGGTGCCCCCCTGTTCTCTAGACCAGAGCGACTCCCAGCCACCGAAAAACAGGAGGGTTTATTGAGCGTCTGAACCCAGCACAGGAAACTCTCCAGGTCCTCGGGCCTAGCAACCCCCATCTCTAGGCTGTTGTCTGGAGGTCCCGGCAACCACATACCCTCTCTCACCACCTTGTTAAACTGAGGCGCTCCAAATATCCCCAATTTCGTCACAAGCTGTAGGCGTGATTTGGATGACAGGGCTCAGTAAGAAACTAATCTGGATTGGTATAAGGATAGAGAGTGGATTAAGAGGAGAGTGGATTAAGGCTAGTGTTATCTGGGGGAATCTGGATAAAGTGGAGAGGGTGGAATCTGGATTAAGGTTAGAGGTCAAGTAAGGATTAGGTTTAGACGGTGGAATCTGGATTAGGGTAAAGAGACAATGAGTCTGGATTAGGATTAGGGGGCAGAATCAACTAGGACAGGTTGAGTGTAGGATTTGGGACACCTGTATAAGGATTAGGGTTAGATTGGTATCTAGATTTGTATTAGGAGGGTCTGGATTAGGACTAGACAGGGCTAGATTAGGAGAAATCACCCATGCTGCTCTGTATCAGGATTAGATCAATGTGGATTAGGATTAGGAGGGACTGGTACATGAGAAACTTTACATTCTGGTCTGGATTAGGATTATCTGGGACCGGATTAGGTTGGTGGGATTAGTCCGTGCATGGATGCGCCTTCTCTCTGACCCAGAGCCAGCCCCCCCAGTCTCCTCCCCCATGCGGTGACCCGCCCCTCTCCCGTCGCGGCAGGCGGTGCTGGCCCGAGGCTGCAGCGAGATGAAGTTCACAGTGGTGGCGTGGAACAGCCAGGCCCTGGCGTGGTACCGGCACCTCGGGGCCCAGGACAAGACGGAGGCGAGCGACTGGCACTGCTTCGAGCTGGGGGCCGAGGCCCTGCGCAGGCTGGCAGGGGACGGACGGTGATTCGGGGCCATGGGGAGCCGGGCTGGGGCCACGGAGCTAAATCAACCGGAGCCCTCCGGGCCCCATGGAGTCCTGCGTCTGCACCCCACAGCCCTCCATCCCTCCTTCCATCCCACACAGCCCTCCATCCCTCCTTCCATCCCTCCTTCCATCCCACACAGCCCTCCATCCCTCCATCCCTCCTTCCATCCCACACAGCCCTCCATCCATCCAGCCCTCCTTCCATCCCCCACAGCCCTCCATCCCTCCTTCCATCCCACACAGCCCTCCATCCCTCCTTCCATCCCACACAGCCCTCCATCCATCCAGCCCTCCTTCCATCCCCCATAGCCCTCCATCCCTCCTTCCATCCCACACAGCCCTCCATCCATCCAGCCCTCCTTCCATCCCCCATAGCCCTCCATCCCTCCTTCCATCCCCCACAGCCCTCCAGCCCTCCTTCCATCCCACACAGCCCTCCATCCATCCAGCCCTCCTTCCATCCCCCACAGCCCTCCATCCCTCCTTCCATCCCCCATAGCCCTCCAGCCCTCCTTCCATGCCACACAGCCCTCCATCCCTCCTTCCATCCCACACAGCCCTCCATCCCTCCTTCCATCCCTCCTTCCATCCCACACAGCCCTCCATCCATCCATCCCTCCTTCCATCCCCCATAGCCCTCCATCCCTCCTTCCATCCCTCCTTCCATCCCCCACAGCCCTCCATCCATCCAGCCCTCCTTCCATCCCCCATAGCCCTCCATCCCTCCTTCCATCCCCCACAGCCCTCCATCCCTCCTTCCATCCCCCACAGCCCTCCATCCCTCCTTCCATCCCCCATAGCCCTCCAGCCCTCCTTCCATCCCCCATAGCCCTCCAGCCCTCCTTCCATCCCTCCTTCCCCTACAGCCCTCCTTCCATCCCACACAGCCCTCCATCCCTCCTTCCATCCCACACAGCCCTCCATCCATCCAGCCCTCCTTCCATCCCCCATAGCCCTCCAGCCCTCCTTCCATCCCACACAGCCCTCCATCCCTCCTTCCATCCCCCATAGCCCTCCATCCATCCAGCCCTCCTTCCATCCTCCATAGCCCTCCAGCCCTCCTTCCATCCCACACAGCCCTCCAGCCCTCCTTCCATCCCACACAGCCCTCCATCCCTCCTTCCATCCCTCCTTCCATCCCACACAGCCCTCCATCCATCCATCCCTCCTTCCATCCCCATAGCCCTCCAGCCCTCCTTCCATCCCACACAGCCCTCCAGCCCTCCTTCCATCCCACACAGCCCTCCATCCATCCAGCCCTCCTTCCATCCCCCATAGCCCTCCATCCCTCCTTCCATCCCACACAGCCCTCCATCCCTCCTTCCATCCCACACAGCCCTCCATCCCTCCTTCCATCCCACACAGCCCTCCATCCATCCAGCCCTCCTTCCATCCCCCATAGCCCTCCAGCCCTCCTTCCATCCCACACAGCCCTCCATCCCTACTTCCATCCCCCATAGCCCTCCATCCATCCAGCCCTCCTTCCATCCCCCATAGCCCTCCAGCCCTCCTTCCATCCCACACAGCCCTCCATCCCTCCTTCCATCCCCCATAGCCCTCCAGCCCTCCTTCCATCCCCCACAGCCCTCCATCCCTCCTTCCATCCCCCATAGCCCTCCATCCAGCCAGCCCTCCTTCCATCCCACACAGCCCTCCAGCCCTCCTTCCATCCCACACAGCCCTCCAGCCCTCCTTCCATCCCCCATAGCCCTCCATCCATCCATCCCTCCTTCCATCCCCCATAGCCCTCCAGCCCTCCTTCCATCCCACACAGCCCTCCATCCATCCAGCCCTCCTTCCATCCCCCATAGCCCTCCAGCCCTCCTTCCAGTCCTTCCCCTACAGCCCTCCATCCCTCCTTCCATCCCACAGCCCTCCATCCCTCCTTCCATCCCCCACAGCCCTCCATCCATCCATCCCTCCTTCCATCCCCCATAGCCCTCCAGCCCTCCTTCCATCCCACACAGCCCTCCAGCCCTCCTTCCATCCACCACAGCCCTCCATCCATCCAGCCCTCCTTCCATCCCCCATAGCCCTCCAGCCCTCCTTCCATCCCCACAGCCCTCCATCCCTCCTTCCATCCCCCATAGCCCTCCAGCCCTCCTTCCATCCCCCACAGCCCTCCATCCCTCCTTCCATCCCCCATAGCCCTCCATCCATCCAGCCCTCCTTCCATCCCACACAGCCCTCCAGCCCTCCTTCCATCCCCCACAGCCCTCCAGCCCTCCTTCCATCCCACACAGCCCTCCATCCATCCAGCCCTCCTTCCATCCCCCATAGCCCTCCAGCCCTCCTTCCATCCCACACAGCCCTCCAGCCCTCCTTCCATCCCCCATAGCCCTCCAGCCCTCCTTCCATCCTCCACAGCCCTCCATCCCTCCTTCCATCCCCCACAGCCCTCCATCCCTCCTTCCATCCCACACAGCCCTCCATCCATCCATCCCTCCTTCCATCCCCCACAGCCCTCCAACCCTCTTTCCAGCCCTCCTTCCCCTACAGCCCTCCATCCCTCCTTCCATCCCACACAGCCCTCCAGCCCTCCTTCCATCCCCCATAGCCCTCCATCCCTCCTTCCATCCCCCACAGCCCTCCAACCCTCTTTCCAGCCCTCCTTCCCCTACAGCCCTCCATCCCTCCTTCCATCCCACACAGCCCTCCAGCCCTCCTTCCATCCCTCCTTCCATCCCACACAGCCCTCCATCCCTCCTTCCATCCTCCACAGCCCTCCATCCCTCCTTCCATCCCCACAGCCCTCCATCCATCCATCCCTCCTTCCATCCCCCACAGCCCTCCAGCCCTCCTTCCATCCCCCATAGCCCTCCATCCATCCAGCCCTCCTTCCATCCCACACAGCCCTCCAGCCCTCCTTCCATCCCCCATAGCCCTCCATCCATCCATCCCTCCTTCCATCCCACACAGCCCTCCAGCCCTCCTTCCATCCCCCATAGCCCTCCATCCCTCCTTCCATCCCCCACAGCTCTCCATCCCTCCTTCCATCCCCCACAGCCCTCCATCCATCCAGCCCTCCTTCCATCCCACACAGCCCTCCAGCCCTCCTTCCATCCCCCATAGCCCTCCATCCATCCAGCCCTCCTTCCATCCCACACAGCCCTCCAGCCCTCCTTCCATCCCCCATAGCCCTCCATCCCTCCTTCCATCCCCCACAGCTCTCCATCCCTCCTTCCATCCCACACAGCCCTCCATCCCTCCTTCCATCCCCACAGCCCTCCATCCATCCAGCCCTCCTTCCATCCCCCATAGCCCTCCAGCCCTCCTTCCATCCCCCATAGCCCTCCATCCCTCCTTCCATCCCACACAGCCCTCCATCCCTCCTTCCATCCCACACAGCCCTCCATCCATCCAGCCCTCCTTCCATCCCCCACAGCCCTCCAGCCCTCCTTCCATCCCACACAGCCCTCCATCCCTCCTTCCATCCCACACAGCCCTCCATCCATCCAGCCCTCCTTCCATCCCCCATAGCCCTCCATCCCTCCTTCCATCCCCCACAGCCCTCCATCCCTCCTTCCATCCCCCATAGCCCTCCATCCAGCCAGCCCTCCTTCCATCCCCCATAGCCCTCCATCCCTCCTTCCATCCCCCATAGCCCTCCATCCATCCAGCCCTCCTTCCATCCCCCATAGCCCTCCATCCAGCCAGCCCTCCTTCCATCCCCCATAGCCCTCCATCCCTCCTTCCATCCCCCATAGCCCTCCATCCATCCAGCCCTCCTTCCATCCCCCATAGCCCTCCATCCCTCCTTCCATCCCACACAGCCCTCCAGCCCTCCTTCCATCCCACACAGCCCTCCATCCATCCAGCCCTCCTTCCATCCTCCATAGCCCTCCAGCCCTCCTTCCATCCCCCATAGCCCTCCATCCCTCCTTCCATCCCACACAGCCCTCCAGCCCTCCTTCCATCCCACACAGCCCTCCATCCATCCAGCCCTCCTTCCATCCCCCATAGCCCTCCAGCCCTCCTTCCATCCCCCATAGCCCTCCATCCATCCAGCCCTCCTTCCATCCCCCATAGCCCTCCATCCCTCCTTCCATCCCACACAGCCCTCCATCCCTCCAGCCCTCCTTCCATCCCCCACAGCCCTCCATCCCTCCTTCCATCCCTCCTTCCCCTACAGCCCTCCATCCCTCCTTCCATCCCTCCTTCCCTACAGCCCTCCATCCCTCCTTCCATCCCACACAGCCCTCCATCCATCCAGCCCTCCTTCCATCCCCCATAGCCCTCCATCCCTCCTTCCATCCCCCATAGCCCTCCATCCCTCCTTCCATCCCTCCTTCCATCCCACACAGCCCTCCATCCCTCCATCCCTCCTTCCATCCCACACAGCCCTCCATCCCTCCTTCCATCCCTCCTTCCATCCCACACAGCCCTCCAGCCCTCCTTCCATCCCCCATAGCCCTCCATCCCTCCTTCCATCCCACACAGCCCTCCATCCATCCATCCCTCCTTCCATCCCACACAGCCCTCCATCCATCCATCCCTCCTTCCATCCCACACAGCCCTCCAGCCCTCCTTCCATCCCACACAGCCCTCCATCCATCCAGCCCTCCTTCCATCCCCCATAGCCCTCCATCCCCCATAGCCCTCCATCCCTCCTTCCATCCCCCACAGCCCTCCATCCCTCCTTCCATCCCACACAGCCCTCCATCCAGCCAGCCCTCCTTCCATCCCCCATAGCCCTCCATCCCTCCTTCCATTCCACACAGCCCTCCATCCCTCCTTCCATCCCCCATAGCCCTCCAGCCCTCCTTCCATCCCACACAGCCCTCCATCCATCCAGCCCTCCTTCCATCCCACACAGACCTCCAGCCCTCCTTCCATCCCACACAGCCCTCCATCCCTCCTTCCATCCCACACAGCCCTCCAGCCCTCCTTCCATCCCCCACAGCCCTCCATCCCTCCTTCCATCCCACACAGCCCTCCAGCCCTCCTTCCATCCCTCCTTCCATCCCACACAGCCCTCCATCCATCCAGCCCTCCTTCCATCCCACACAGCCCTCCAGCCCTCCTTCCATCCCACACAGCCCTCCATCCCTCCTTCCATCCCACACAGCCCTCCATCCATCCATCCCTCCTTCCATCCCACACAGCCCTCCATCCCTCCTTCCATCCCTCCTTCCATCCCCACAGCCCTCCATCCCTCCTTCCATCCCACACAGCCCTCCATCCCGCCTTCCATCCCACACAGCCCTCCATCCATCCAGCCTCCTTCCATCTCTCCATTTCCCATAGCCCTCCAGCCATCCCTCCATCCCACACAGCCCTCCATCCATCTACCCATCCCTCCATCACCCATAGCCCTCCATCCATCCATCCCTCCCTCCATCCCCCACAGCCCCCCTTCCATCCATCCATCCCTCCCTCCATCCTCCACAGCCCTCCTTCCATCCCTCCATCCCACACAGCCCTCCATCCCCCACAGCCCTCCTTCCATCCCTCCTTCCATCCCTCCATCCCCCACAGCCTTCCCTCCATCTACCCATCCCTCCATCACCCATAGCCCTCCATCCCCCACAGCCCTCCTTCCATCCATCCATCCATCCATCGCTCCCTCCATCCCCCACAGCCCTCCATCCATCCATCCATCCATCGCTCCCTCCATCCCACACAGCCCTCCATCCATCCCTCCTTCCCCCCTTCATCTCCCCCATCCCTCCCCAGTGCCCTCCATGTTCCCCCCACTCCCCGTGAGTCGAAGCTCTGGGTCCATACAGGCTCCACTCCTCACCAGGCCGGTGGGGCCGGACGATGCGACGAAGCGGCTTGCGACCCCAATAAACATGCGCCAGACTGGGGCTGGCACGAAGGCGTCGTCTCTCACCACCTCGCGGACCCTGGACGGTGTGTGAACGCGGGGGGACGGGGGGGGGACACAACGGTCACTCCCAGGAGTGCTGTCAGCTCCCCCTGTGAGTGATGGGGAATCTGAAACTAACCACTAGCCCCCACTCCCCTCCCAGAGCCGGGGAGAGAACCCAGGAGTCCTGGCTCCCAGTCCCCCCCCTGCTCTAACCACCAGCCCCCACTCCCCTCCCAGAGCCGGGGAGAGAACCCAGGAGTCCTGGCTCCCAGCCCCCCCCCACACACACATTGTCACTGGTGTGACTCAGTCCCTGCAGGGATGGTGGCTGGGAGACCCATTAGCAGTGGCGGGGGGGGGGGGGGGGCACAGTGTGAGCAGGTCACAGGCGCCAGCTCTGATCCATCATTGCTGGGTGAAGGGGGGGGCCTTTCATCTCTCTCCTCTGCATATCTTTCCTTTCTCCAGCACTGGGGAGGGCCCCCTCTCCAGCCTATTGATCGGGGCCCCTACCCCACTCCCCTCCCAGAGCCGGGGAGAGAACCCAGGAGTCCTGGCTCCCAGCCCCTCCTGCTCTAACCCCCCCGACCCCACTCCCCTCCCAGAGCCGGGAGAGAACCCAGGAGTCCTGGCTCCCAGCCCCTCCTGCTCTAACCCCCCCGACCCCACTCCCCTCCCAGAGTCAGGAGAGAACCCAGGAGTCCTGGTTCCCTGGGCCCCCCCACTCTAACTCAACATCGTGGCAGGGGGGGTCTGTCTGCAGAGAATAGGGTAAATTGAAGGGTCCCTTGCTGGGAGTGGCCCCTCCCTTCTGTCCAGCCCCTGCCCCCTGAGTGAGGTTTAGGGGGTCCCGGGGGGGGGCGGACACTTCGGCCAAGACCCCCCACTCATGTCAGTGCGCAGATTCCTATTCTGTTTAGCTGCAGGGAGACTGTGGGGAAGGGGGACGGACGGACTGTGAGTTCATCACCCTGCCCCCCCCCGAACCCCCCTGCTGGGAGAAATTAAGAAAAAACTCATCATGTTTAATCATCAACAGCCGAAAGGTCGGGGGACGGGGTGGGGGGAGCCCCCAGCTGGGCCAAGGCCCGTTAACCCTCCCAGGGCCATAAACAAGAGCGTTGAAAGGGGGGGCAGTAAGGGGACCACTCCCCACTGTGGGGGGGAAGAGAGCAAAGCTGGTTCCCTAAAGGTCCCCGCGAGACCCCACTCAAAGCCGGGGAGAGAACCCAGGAGTCCTGGCTCCCAGCCCCCCACTCTAGCTTCCTAGGAGCTAGAGTGGGGGGCTGGGAGCCAGGACTCCTGGGTTCTCTCCCCGGCTCTGGGAGGGGAAGGGGGGCTAGTGGTTAGAGCGGAGGGGAGTTGGGAGCCAGGATTCCTGGGTTCTCTCCCCAGCTTTGGGAAGGGAGGGGGCGCTAGTGGTTAGAGCAGGGGGCCTGGGAGCCAGGACTCCTGGGTTCTCCTCGCAGCTCACCCTGGCGGGAACAGACAGGACCATAGAGACCGTGGGTGGAGGAAACACACAAATGGGTTTTATTGGGAATTGATCATGGCATAGCGGGACCCCCCTAAGCACTAAGGGAGGGGGCAGCAGAGCGCCCCGCGGGGGCTGGGACCCCCAGGGGGCGGGGCTGGGACCCCCCAGGGGGCGGGGCTAGCAGGAGGTGAGGGTTTTCCAGTAGAAGCTCTTGCAGCCGGCTTTTCGCTCCCGGGGGGTCGCGGGGGGGTGATGCCAGCGGGGGGCCGCACCCTGGGGAGACAGCTCAGCGCGCAGGAGTCCGGAGACGGCTTTTAGCACCACAGCCCGGGACAGCGCCTGGGGGGGGAGGGAAGAGAGACCAAGAGTCACCCCGGCCCCACCCCACTCGCGGAGAGAACCCAGGAGTCCGGGATCCCAGCCCCCCCCGGCTCTAACCACCAGCCCCCGCTCCCCTCCCAGAGCCAGGGAGGGAACCCAGGAGCCCTGGTTCACCCCCCATCCCTGGCTCTACCCCACTTCCCTCCCCTTCCTGTGACCCCAAAGTCTCCCTGAATTAATCTCTCTCCTGACTGGGGGTAACCAAAACAGCGCTCAGAGCCCCCCTGTTCTCAGATATGCAGACCCCAGCTCTATACCCAGGGCGAGTTCTGGGAGGGAGAAGAGAGCTAAAGGGGCTGGGTTGGGGGGCTCCTGGGAGAAATGGCGGGCAGGGGAGACTGCCCAGCCCACCCCCAGGACTCCCATCAGGGTCCACCCTGCTCAGGAAACGGGGTGTCCCCATCCCCTGCCTTGGGCATCAGTCTCCCTTCTTTAGGATCTCTGCCTTCAACACCCCATCCATGCCACCTCCCCTGTCCGCGCAGCCCCCCGTCTCTGTAGCCCTCCCAGGACACCCTCAATCTACGCAGCACCCCCATCTCTGTAGCCCCTCAGGGCACCTCCCCAAACTCTGCAGCCCCCCCTGTCACCCCAGGGGACCCCAATTTCTGCGCACACCCCTCTCTATGCAAAAAAATCTAACCACGCCCAATTTCTGCAGAGGACCCACGGCACCCCAAAACTCCCCCCAGGGTACCCCTAATTTCTGGACAGCCCCCCAATACACCCAGGACACTTCCAACCCCCAATCTATGCAGCAGCACCCCAAAAGCCCCAGGGGTGCAACCCAAACCTCCCTCCAGGGCACCCCTAATTTCTGAACAGCCCCCCCCATACACCCAGGACACTTCCAACCCCCAAACTCCCCAGGGGTGCACCCCCATTATGCAACACCCCTCACTTTCCCCAGGGCCCTGGAATTTCATCACAGCCCCCCCATGACATCTGAGGGGCCCCCCAGACTATGCAGTACCCCCAACCCTGCAGAGCACCCCAATTTCTACACAGCAACAAAACTCCATCCCCCCAATCTATGCAGCACCTCCAAACTCCTTCAGGCCCCCCAATCTATACAGTACCCCAACCACCCTCCTGGAGCACCCTAAACTCTATATAGACCCCCAAGCTCTGCAGTACCCCCTAAACTCCAGCAAGAGTCCCCCCATCCCTCCTCAATCTCTGCAGGACCCCCCCTAGCCCCCCAATCCCTGCAGCTCCCCCAAATTCCCCCTTCCCCCCAGGGGCACTCTGACCATACCCTACCCCCATCTCACCTGGCTCCCCAGGTGGGGAGCACGGAGCCGGGGGGCGCCGGCGGGCGCGGGGGTCCCAGGGCGCAGCGCGGAGCTGGCGAGGAGAAAGAGGAGGAAGAAAAGCGGGGACCCCATGGTGCCGAGGCTCGCCCCCAAAACCAGCTGCCTGACACCAAGCTGGGAAGCAGACAGAACTTGTGTGCGACCAGCCCCCCCCCCCCCAAGCCCTGCTTCTTATATGCACCCCCCGCAAAGAGAGTGGGGGGGCAGCCCAGCCAATGAGCCGCTAGGGGGTGCAGGGGAGGGGGCGGACAGGCAGGGGGGAGGATGGGAAGAAGGCAGGGGATGGGGAGGGCAGCTGAAAGGGGGAGTGATCAGGGCTTGCTGGGGGGGGGCAGTTCAAGGGGGGGCATCCCACTTCCCGCAAGGTCCCAGTGGCTGCACCCAGACACCCACCCCCCCCCGCACCCAGACACACACCCCTGGGGGGGGGGCGACCAAGCGAGAGAGACTATCCAATACTTGCCCCATTCCCTGCCCCCCTGAGCCAGGCAGCTGGGACCTGAGGACCTGCCGGCTCGGCTCACAGGATGGAGGATTTGGGCTCGGGCCACCTTCAGGGGAAAGACGGGTGGGACCGGCCCTACCCCGGGCTCTGTGGGCTCCAGTCGGCCAGAGGGCAGGTGCCGAGTGCACCCTCAAGTCACCTCACAGCTGACACCGGGTGACAAATTCTTGCCTTGACCATTGATACGGGGAAAGACACGGAAGATCTCGTCCGCACGGCTGAAGAGGAGCCGACCGTAGGACCAAAAAACAAACTGCCGCTTCGCGACAAGTCCTCACGCCTTGAGAAGAGAACTAAATCCAAACCGGCGTTAATACACCCGCCCACAGTGCTTTTAAAAAGGCCCGTTTCCCCAAGCGGAAAGCCATGCCGCGCCAAATCAGCCGGGAGGAAACCGATCAGACCAGGAAAACGCCACTGTGGCTTGGGGATTGTGGAAGGACGCTTTGTAAGGTGCCACACTCAAGGGGAAAAAAGCCGGCCAAGTTAAAAACAAGAACAAAAAAACCCCCCAAAAAAGACCTGGTTCTGAGGGGAAAGTGATGGCAATAAAAAGATGAACATGGAACAAATGGAAGAAAAGGGGAGATTGATCGTACCGAATAGAAATCAGACACTAGGAATCTTAGTACATTGATAAGGGAAGCAAAAGGGCCACAAAGAGGAATGGCCAGCACAATTAAGGACAGTAAGGAGGTGGGGAGGTTTTAAAATCATACTAAGACATACCAACAACAAACACAGGCCATACTTACAGGGTGGAAGTAGGGACTCTGAAAGAGATTTGGGCGTCATGGTGGAGGAGCAGCTGAACACAAGGTCCCAGGGCGACGCTGTGGCTAAAAGAGCGAATGCGCTCCTGGGACTTATAAACGGGGGAATCTGGAGTAGGAGAAGCAGAGAGGTGATGTATACTCTGAATTTGGCCCTCGTGCAACCGCGGCTGGACTCCCGTGTCCAGGTCTGGCGCCCCCAATTCAAGACGGCCGGGGCGCCAGACCCGGTCACGGGAGACCGAAAAGAGCCACGCGAAGGATTAAAGAATTAGAAAACCTGCCTTATGGGGACAGCCTCACGGAGCACCAGCCATTTAGTTTAATGCCGAGAAGGTTAAGGGGTGACTTGGAGGGGCGATTTTTCAGGGCAGGCCCCTGGCCTGGGTTGTACAGGGCAGCCCAGACCACAGCCATCCGGGCATCGGAATCTAGAAAACCCAGGAGTCCTGGCTCCCAGCCCCCGCCCCCCGCTCTAACCCCTAGTCCCCACTCCCCTCCCAGAGCCACATAGGGTACCCCAGTAACACCTCCGAACAAAAGAAAGCAGGACATTTCATTGCCAAGAGTGAAAAAACCAAATCTTTAATCCAACTGCCCCCTGCCCCAGAAAGGGGGAGGGAGGGAGGGAGGGAGAAGTATGCAATGGAAACGGTTAATGGTGATGAAGGAAACCCCTCCCCCAGCCAGGGATAGAACCCAGGAGTCCTGCTCCGCCCGCTCCCACTGCCCTCCCAGGAGCTGGGGATGGAACCCAGGCATCCTGACACGCACTGCTAGGGGATTGTTAATGGGGTATCATCTGCCCCCTGAGACCAGCTCAGGGTCCGACGCCCCCCCCCTCCAAAATGGGTGGGGAGTCAGGGCTCCTTCGGAGGAGAGGCAGCCAGTCCCCGTCCCCCCCCTCCAAAAAACAAACTGACCTAGAAATTGAGGGGAGAAACCCCAAATCCTGAGCATCCCCCTCCCCCCAAGCTGGGCTGTGAACCCCGGAGTGGGGAGAAATATAACCACTGCCCCCCCGTGAGAAATATTGGGGTGACATGCTGGGGGGGGAAGAGACAGGTTCACTTCCTGTCCTGCCACAAAGCCCTGCCCTCTGGTGTATACCAACTGGGGAGGGGGGGTCCCCCCTCACCCCAATATTAGAGCAGGGCTAATTCCAACCCCCCTTCTGCTACCACCCCCCCATCTTGACCGTGGGGCCCGGTTGGTTTTAGGGTGCTCAGGAATTGGGGGGGCAAGGGGCAGAGGGGACCCTGAATTAACAGAGATTGGCAGAGCAGGGACTCTGGGGGTGCAAACGTGCCCCCAAAGTGAAGGGAGAAATGCGGGGCAGAGAGGGATTAATAGAAGACAATGGAGCTGGGGGGCAGCAAGAAGTGGGGGGTTCTGCCCCCCCAAAATGATGGGAGAAGCAGGGTGCAGGGGAACCCCCAATATTAATAGATGCCGACATAGCCAGGGGCAGGAATCTGGGGGGCACAAGGCAGGACCTTTGCCCCATAGGGGATAGGAGGAATGGGGTTGAGGGGGACCCCGAGTCGACGGATACTAAAGCAGCTGCTGGCAGTGGGGGCAGACAGAGCCCCTCCCCCAGGGCAGAGACCAGGGGGTGAGCGGGGGGCTGGGCACCCCGAGCCCTCAGCAGTCGGTGGTGATCTTCGAGGAGAGCTCCTGGATGCGCCGGGCGCTGCATGATTTGCACAGGATGTGCCCATCCAGGGGGTAGCAGCCCCGGCCCTCGCCCTCCGACGACAGCAGCAGCCCACACTCCTGGGGCAGGGGGGACAGAGACTCCATCAGAACCCAGGCGTCCTGGCTCCCAGCCCCCTCCTGCTCTAACCCACCAGCCCCCGCTCCCCTCCCAGAGCCGAGGAGAGAACCCAGGCGTCCGGGCTCCCAGTCCCCCTGCTCTAACCCACCATCACCCACTCCCTTCCCAGTGCTGCAGAGAGAACCCAGGCGTCCTGGCTCCCAGCCCCCTCCTGCTCTACCCCACCAGCCCCCGCTCCCCTCCCAGAGCCGAGGAGAGAACCCAGGCGTCCGGGCTCCCAGTCCCCCTGCTCTAACCCACCATCACCCACTCCCTTCCCAGTGCTGCAGAGAGAACCCAGGCGTCCTGGCTCCCAGCCCCCTCCTGCTCTGACCCACCAGCCCCCGCTCCCAGCCCTGGGGAGAGAACCCAGGCATCCGGGCTGCCAGCCCCCACCTCACACTTGTAGCACCCAATGTGGAAGCTCCGATCCAGGGCCACGATCCTGACCGTCTCCTCCTGCCCGGGCTCGGGCATGATGGCGTTGCCACACACGGAGCAGCGGGGGGCGAACTTCCTGCGGGGGCACAGAGAGGGGAAGAGGGACGTCAGGGGAGCCGGGGGCGGGGCCACAGGGCAGGGGGCGGGGCCACAGAGCAGGGGGCGGGGCCATACCGGTGGAAGTCCTCGATGCAGTGGACCTGGCTGGTGGCGTCCACGGTGAAGGGGACCCCGTCCAGGCACTGGTGGCAGACCACGCAGGTGAAGCACTGGGGGTGATAGGCCTTGCCCATGGCCCGCAGGATCCGGTCCAGGATGGGCTTGGAGCACATCGAGCACTTCTCCAGCGTCACCTGGCGGGAGGGGAGAGCCGTGGGCCTGGGGCCAGCCCCCCCCCCGGCCCCCTCAGCTCTAACCACCAGCCCCCACTCCCCTCCCGGAGCCGGGGAGAGAACCCAGGAGTCCTGGCTCCCAGCCCCCCCTGCTCTAGCCACTAGTCCCTACTCCCCTCCCAGAGCCGGGAGAGAACCCAGGAGTCCTGGCTCCCAGCCCCCCTGCTCTAACCACCAGCCCCCACTCCCCTCCCGGAGCCGGGGAGAGAACCCAGGAGTCCTGGCTCCCAGCCCCCCCTGCTCTAGCCACTAGTCCCTACTCCCCTTCTGGAGCTGGGGAGAGAACCCAGGTGTCCTGGCTCCAAGCGCTAACCCACCAGCCCCCACTCCCCACCTGGAGCCAGGGAGAGAACCCAGGTGTCCTGGCTCCAAGCTCTAACCCACCAGCCCCCACTCTCCTCCCCCAGGGGGGGAGAACCCAGTCCCCAGCCACCCACCCCCACCCCCCCCCCCAGCGGAGAGAACCCAGGTGTCCTAGTTCCAACTCTAACCCACCAGCCCCCACTCTCCTCCCCGAACCAAGGAGAGAACCCAGGTGTCCTGGCTCCAAGCTCTAACCCACCAGCCCCCACTCTCCTCCCCCGAAAAGGAGAGAACAGGTGTCCTGCTCCAATAACCCACCAGCCCCCCCCCCCCTGGAGCCAGGGAGAGAACCCAGGTGTCCTGGCTCCAAGCTCTAACCCACCAGCCCCCACTCTCCTCCCCGAGCCAAGGAGAGAACCCAGGTGTCCTGGCTCCAAGCTCTAGCCCACCAGCCCCCACTCTCCTCCCCGAACCAAGGAGAGAACCCAGGTGTCCTGGCTCCAAGCTCTAGCCCACCAGCCCCCACTCTCCTCCCCGAACCAAGGAGAGAACCCAGGTGCCCTGGCTCCAAGCTCTAGCCCACCAGCCCCCACTCCCCTCCCCGAACCAAGGAGAGAACCCAGGTGTCCTGGCTCCAAGCTCTAACCCACCAGCCCCCACTCTCCTCCCCGAACCAAGGAGAGAACCCAGGTGCCCTGGCTCCAAGCTCTAGCCCACCAGCCCCCACTCCCCTCCCCGAACCAAGGAGAGAACCCAGGTGTCCTGGCTCCAAGCTCTAGCCCACCAGCCCCCACTCTCCTCCCCGAACCAAGGAGAGAACCCAGGTGCCCTGGCTCCAAGCTCTAGCCCACCAGCCCCCCTCCCCTCCCCGAGCCGGGGGAGAACCCAGGCGTCCTGCGGCCCGGCACTCACGACGTAGCAGGCCTCGCAGTAGGCCCGGCGCTCCATGGCGTAGAAGGGTTGGCCCCGCAGCCGGGCGTGGCAGGTGGTGCAGGTGAAGCAGGGCACGTGGAAGACCTGGTCCATGGCCACGCAGCCTGTCCCGTCCCCCACCACGTTCTCCCCACAGCGGGCGCAGCGCCCTGGGGGCAGAGGGGCAGGGCTCACACGGGGCCCCCCAGCGCCTCCACTGACCCTTCCCCCCACCTCTCCGCTCCCCACCCACTCCAGCCCCCCTGCCCACCAACCTCTCTCCCAGCCCCCCACTGCCTCAACCTCTCATGCCCACAACCACCCCAGCAACCCCCTCCCTACCCCTCAAGCACGAAGCCCCCCGACTCGCCACCCTGTAACCCCCCTGCCCCCCTCACCGAAGTACTCCCCCGCCGGCGGGTGGTTCATGTCATGCACCAGCTTCCTGGTCAGTCTGTCCAGCTCCTCCTCCGGGCGGCTCGGGGGGGTCTGGGGGGAGGGAGACCGCATCTGGAGGCTTCGCTCACGTTGATTCCCCCCCCCACGAGATGGTACAATCCCCAGCAGGAGAGAACCCAGGAATCCTGGCTTCCAGCCCTGCCCCCCCGCTCTAATCCACCAGCCCCCACTTCCCTCCCAGAGCTGGGGAGAGAACCCAGGCATCCTGGCTCCCAGCCCCTGCCCCCCCTCGCTCTAACCACCAGCCCCCACTCCCCTCCCAGAGCTGGGGAGAGAACCCAGGCATCCTGGCTCCCAGCCCCTGCCCCCCCTCGCTCTAACCACCAGCCCCCACTCCCCTCCCAGAGCTGGGGAGAGAACCCAGGCATCCTGGCTCCCAGCCCCTGCCCCCCCTCGCTCTAACCACCAGCCCCCACTCCCCTCCCAGAGCCGGGGAGAGAACCCAGGCGTCCTGGCTCCCAGCTGCCCCCACCCACTCTAACCACAAGCCCCCACTCCCCTCCCAGAGGACCCAGGGGTCCTGCCCCCCCTCATACTCCCGGCCAATTCCCTCTCACATTACCTGGTGCTGGTATCCTCCTCCACCACCAGGGGGCGCCTTCCCCATCACCGCCGTCTCTTCCTTGCCTGGGGTCCTGGCGGCAGCCTGGTACGGACCCCCAGCCGCCTCCCCTGGTTTGGCCAGCCCCCCGGCCCCATAGCACTCCCCCTTGCCCGGCCTCTTGCCGTAACCCCCCGGCTCCAGATACCAGCCCTCCTCCCCCCTGGCGCCCGGCTCCAAGGCGTACTGGGCCCCGCGGCCCACTCGGGGCGAGGGGGGTGCGTAGGCCTGTTCGGCCCGGTGCCTCGGTTGACCGTAACCCAGCACTGGCTGGGCAACTTTGACCTGGACGTTGAAGGCCGGCCCGGCCGACGTGGTGTAGGACGCGGGCATGGGCTGCGGGTAGGGCTTATGCCCGGGCGGTGCCCGCGGGTAGCCTGCCCCATATTGGGGAGACGGCCCAGAGGAAGCCGTTGAGGTGGCGGGTTGGGGCGATGGACCGTAGGGTGAGTTCTTGGGGGCGAAGGAGCCCGGCTTGTAGGGGCCGTGCATTTTGGGGGGGGTGGGCTGCGGGGGGCCAGAGGCCGACGGGTACGGGACGGAGTCGAAGTTCTGGAGAAGAAAGGAGAGGAAAGAGGAGACGTAGGCTGGTGTGGGGCTTTGGGGGTACCCCATATTACCAGCCCCCCAGCCTGCAAGTCCACCCCAACCCTAAACGCATTGAAACACCCATTGTTCCCCAAGGAACCCCACTCATCCATGTTGATCGTCAAGTCTTGCTAGGCCAACGCCAACTCTGTGAAATCATCAATTTCTTGTGAACTGTGAAGGATAGAAGCACCTGCCATACCCCATTGGAAAGCTTGGATTTGTAGCTTTCCAACGGTGCCTGGCACTCATCTCTATGCCCACCGGCTCAGGAAATATCTGGCAATAAAGGAGGCCCACTGTGACGTCCCGTGAACCATCTCCACTTCCCTCCCCCCGAGGTTCTGGTTGGAATGTGATTTTCGGTGGCCGATCCCCAGGAAACCGGGGGAGGGAGATGCGGGCGGGTGATACCAAGGGAAAGCCCAGGGTCTCTACTTTCCAACGGTGTCACATGCGGAAGCCTGTGTCCACCGGTTCCAGAGATATCAGGCGCTAGAGTTGCCATGTGGTGGGCAGGAGAGGGGCAAGAAGGTACTTGGAAGGACGTGATTATAGGGTCTGAAATCTCATTAGGGTGGGAGAGGCTGTGCCATTGAAAACCCACCAGGTCAAACCCCCCTCCCCCAGAACCCTCCGGTGGGGGGGGGGTTTACCTGCCTCTCCCCCCGGCGTTGGGGGCCGGCATTCTCCATATCAGCCAACATACTGGTGAGCGAGTCTATTTGGGCGTCGATGCTGGAGGGGCGGTGGGGCCCTGGGTCTAGGGCAGATCCCTAAGGAAACAGACAAGGAGGGGGAGGGGATTACGGTGTGGGGAGGAGGGGGCTATAAGGTACTGCCCAGGTCTGTCAGCTGGGATCAGGAAGTCCAGCTGCTGTCCTAGTGGCAGGTAGTTCCGCAGGGTAACGGGAATTAAGCCTCATGCTCCAAGGCATGAGATGGTCAGGAAGGAGCCTTCCCACGTGCCCCATATGACCAAGGCAGGTGAATTATGGGAAACTTATGCTTTCTCCAAGGTCCCACAGAGGCAAGGCACTGGGCTGCATAGGATATAGGTCACCCCCTCTCCACCAGCACCCCAAATCCCTGTCCCATCCCCCCAATGCCCAGGGGCCCCATTCCCTCCTCCTACCTGCATGTGGTACCCACATCCAGCAGAGGGGGGGCCACCCCAGGGCACCCCCAGTTCATCCTTGGCCCCTGGGGCTGATGGGTAATGATGCTCCAAGTCAGCTGGGGGTCCGAAGCTGGAAGGCAGGGGACGGGAGGGGAGGCTGCCTAGAGGGGAAACAGCAACGGGTCAGACCCACAGGCCCCCTCCCTCTCTATTCCCCCCTCCACCGCCTCCGAGATTCCCCCCCTCAGCCCTGCCGCCAACCTGGATCAGACCATTCGGGTACTGGGGGCGGGGGGGGGGAACCAGGTATTTACCAGGGCCCGCTGGCTGGTAGCCTGTCCCGCTCATGCCCCCCCCGTTCTGGTCCTGGGGGGCCGGCCTGGGGGGAGCAGGAACAGGGGCGTATTTCTTCTGGGGTTTGCCGAGTGCCAGAGCCGAGACCGAGACGCCGGGAGACCCCGAGGAGCTCAGCTGCTTTGGGGGAAGCCAGGTGGGACCGGACATCTCTGGGACCTGCAGGGGGGGGGTGCAGAGAGGTTAGAACAGGGGGGGGGCTAGGAGCCAGGACTCCTGGGTTCTTTCTGTGGCTCCTGGAGGGGAGCGACGGCTAGTGAGTTAGAGCAGGGGGGGCTGGGAGCTAGGACTCCTGGGTTCTTTCTGTGGCTCCTGGAGGGGAGCGACGGCTAGTGAATTAGAGCAGGGGGGGCTGGGAGCCAGGACTCCTGGGTTCTCTTCCCTGCTCTGGGAAGGGAGTGGGATCTGGTGGGTTAGAGCAGGGGGGCTGGGAGCCCGGACTCCTGGGTTCTCTCCCCTGCTGTGGGAGGGGAGTGGGGCCTGCCTTGGGTCTGTCTAGATTTGGCAGGGGAGGGGCAGGATCTAACTCTCACCCAGCCCCACTGGCCCTGGTTGGGGAGGGGATTTCCAGGGTGGGGGGGACTCAGCTTGGGGAACGACGGCCCCCCTCCATTCCAACCGTGTGTGTGTGGGGGGGTGTCCCAGGGGCGGAAGGCGGGGGAGGAAAAGTCCTGGCGTAGAGACCCTGGCCCTGGGGGCGCTAAAGGGGATGGGGTCCCTGGCCCAGGGAGAGAGAGGGGGTTCCCAATGGGGAGGGGTCCCTGGGAGAGGGAGTGGGGGTCTCAGTGGGGAAGGGTCCCTGGCCGGGGAGGGTGTGTGTCTCTGATCACGTGGGGAGAATTCCTGCGGGGTGTGGGGACCCGATTCTTACCTGGCTCCGATGCGGGAATCCCAGTTGAGGGGGGGGTCCCAGCCCCTCCTGTCCTACCCCACTCGTGGGGTGGGGGGTTCCCTAGCCCAGTGAGGGGCAGGGGGAAGGTCCCGGAGGCGCCGGATCCCGCCGGCTCCGAAACTCCCCGGAAAAGTTTTTTTTTTTCTCCCAACTCCCAAAAAACTTTTTTAATGGACCCCTCGGTGACGTCACCACATTCCAGAGGGGTCACGTGGGGCTGGGAATTCCTACCACTTCCTGTGGGGGGGCATGGGAGGGGCAGCGTAGGACTCCTGGGTTCTCTCCCTGGTTCTGGAAGGGGAGCGGGGGCTGTTGGTTAGAGCAAGGGGGGCTGCGAGCCAGGATTCCTGGGTTCTCTCCCCGGCTCTGGGAGGGAAGTGGGGTCTAGTGGTTAGAGCAGGGGACTGGGAGCCAGGACTCCTGGGTTCTCGGCCTGGCTCAGGGGTGGGGAATTGGGTACTGGACCTTTCCCCTTCCAGGAGCGTCAGCTCCCATCCGGTCCTGGGTCAGGGACTGGCCGGCTAGCCCCACTCTGAGTCCCTGGCTCCTCTCCAGCCTTGTCAGGAAAGTCTGAACAGCTGTTCCACGGGGGGGGAGGGTTTTCTGTTTTGGCCCCCATCGCTGCCCAGACACACAGTGAAAGACGCTGACCCAAAATGCTGACAGTCTAAAGAGATGCAGCGCAGGAGGGGAAACTGAGGCACAGCAGTAAGGGACAGACCCAACGTCACATAACAAAGCTGGGAAAAGAACCCAGGAATCCTGTCTCCCAACCCCCCTCTTTCCCCCTGCTCTAACCCACCAGCCCCCGCTCCTGTCCCAGAGTCGGGGAGAGAACCCAGGTCCTGGCTCCCAGCCCCCCTGCTCTGACCCACCAGCCCCCACTCCCCTCCCAGAGGAGGGGAGAGAACCCAGGAGTCCTAGCTCCCAACCCCCCCTGCTCTAACCCACCAGACCCCACTCCCCTCCCAGAGGAGGGGAGAGAACCCAGGAGTCCTGGCTCCCAGCCCCCCCTGCTCTAACCCACCAGACCCCCACTCCCCTCCCAGGGGGGGGGAGGGTCCTGGCTCCCAGCCCCCCTGCTCTGACCCACCAGCCCCCACTCCCCTCCCAGAGGAGGGGAGAGAACCCAGGAGTCCTGGCTCCCAGCCCCCCCTGCTCTAACCCACCAGCCCCCATTCCCCTCCCAGAGGAGGGGAGAGAACCCAGGAGTCCTGGCTCCCAGCCCCCCCTGCTCTAACCCACCAGCCCCCACTCCCCTCCCAGAGGAGGGGAGAGAACCCAGGAGTCCTGGCTCCCAGCCCCCCCTGCTGGGCGTGGGCCCCACACTGCAAGCCAGGGTGATGCGCGGGCCGACAGCGCCACCTGCTGGCCACAGGGTGGTACCGACACGTTCCTAGAACCCGAGCGATTAACCTGTGGGCTAAATTCGGGGGCGGGGCTGGGAGCCAGGACTCCTGGGTTCTCCCCCCCGGCTCTGGGAGAGGAGTGGGGGCCGGTGGGTTAGAGCAGGGGGGTTGGGAGCCAGGACTCCAGGGTTCTCTCCCTGGCTACTGGTGCAATCAAAAGAGTCTCTAGCCCCTACCGCGACTTTAAGATCTGGGTTATATGACAATTGAAATGCTGAGTTGCCCCCCCCAGTGTGACGTCACTGTCAGGGGCACCCCCCCCCTCCACCCCCCCGCCTCTACTGGGAGTTTCCTGCATTTGTGACTGTACCACAATGGACTTTGTGTCCAGAAATCTACCCAGAGACTCCTCTGGGGCGGGGCGGCCGGTGACCCAGGGACCCCTCGCCCGGCACCGAGATGCAGCCATCTCTGGGGCGGGACGGCCGGTGACCCGGGGACTCCTCGCCCGGCACCGAGATGCAGCCACCTCTGGGGCGGGACGGCCGGTGACCCGGGGACCCCTCGCCCGGCCCCAAGATGCGGCCACCTCTGGGGTGGGACGGACGGTGACCCGGGGACCCCTCGCCCAGCCCCGAGATGTGGCCACCTCTGGGGCAGGGCGGCCGGTGACCCAGGGACCCCTTGCCCAGCCCCAAAACGCGGCCACCTCTGGGGCGGGGCGGCCGGTGACCCGGGGACCCCTCGCCCAGCCCCAATATGCGGCCACCTCTGGGGCGGGGCAGCTGGTGACCCAGGGACCCCTTGCCTGGCTGCCTCCGCCATGTGTCTTTGTCTCATCTCACTAAGGGTGAGGGTCCAAAAAAACATCCAGTTTCCTCCCTCCTTGCCCCCCAATTCCCACCTCCTTGCCTGCCCCCCCCCCACACTCCGGGCTCCCCAGCGTAGGCCGGGACAATAGAAGGAAATAGAGTAACTTCATTCAGGGATCAGCCAGTCCCAGCAGCTCCCCCCCTTGCCACAAATCCCCCCCGCTTCCAATTCCTGGATCTAAAAAGAGAGGTGGGGGGGTGCCTTAAGAGAGCAGTGGAGTGAACTGAGCAGGGATCAAAGCCAGGACTCCTGGGTTCTCTCCCCGGCTCTGGGAGGGGAGTGGGGGCTGGTGGTTAGAGCAGGAGGGGCTGGGAGCCAGGACTCCTGGGTTCTCTCCCCGGCTCTGGGAAGGGAGTGGGGGCTGGTGGGTTAGAGCAGGAGGGGCTGGGAGCCAGGACTCCTGGGTTCTCTCCCCGCTCTGGGACAGGAGTGGGGGTTGGTGGGTCAGAGCAGGAGGGGCTGGGAGCCAGGACTCCTGGGTTCTCTCCCCGGCTCTGGGACGGGAGTGGGGGCTGGTGGGTTAGAGCAGGAGGGGCTGGGAGCCAGGACTCCTGGGTTCTCTCCCCGGCTCTGGGAAGGGAGTGGGGGCTGGTGGGTCAGAGCAGGAGGGGCTGGGAGCCAGGACTCCTGGGTTCTCTCCCCGGCTCTGGGACGGGAGTGGGGGCTGGTGGGTTAGAGCAGGAGGGGCTGGGAGCCAGGACTCCTGGGTTCTCTCCCCGGCTCTGGGAGGGGAGTGGGGGCTGGTGGTTAGAGCAGGAGGGGCTGGGAGCCAGGACTCCTGGGTTCTCTCCCCAGCTCTGGGACAGGATTGGGGTGGTGGGTTAGAAGAGGGGGGAGCTTGGAGCTGGGTTTGTTTGTGGATCTTGGAATTCTCCGGCCTTTTTCCTGAAAAGTCTATTAATACTCCCCCCCCCCCACTCCCTCCCCACGGCTGGGCCGGGGCAGGAAGGATGTGAACTAGAGAGAGAACTTCCCCCACCCCCCCCTCAGGACACTATAAGAGACCCCGCCTGGATGAGCCATTGGAGGCTGGTTCTCCGGACTGGGGGGTTCAGCTGGGAGATTGCACTCCGCCCCCCCAAAGTCCTGCTTGCAGGAAGCTTGGAGGGTCCCTGCTGGTCAGGGTGAGCTGTCACGGCCTGGATGCCTGGGTTCTCTCCTCAGTTCTGGGAGGGGAGTGGGGGCTGGTGGGTTAGAGCGGGGCGGGGGGGCGCTGGGAGCCAGGACTCCTGGGTTCTCTCCCTGGCTCTGGCAGCGGAGTGGGGGCTGGTGGGTTAGAGGACCGGGGGCTGGGAGCCGGGACCCCTGGGTTCTCTCCCCGACTCTGGGACAGGAGTGGGGGCTGGTGGGTCAGAGCAGGGGGGCTGGGAGCCAGGACTCCTGGGTTCTCTCCCCGCCTCTGGGACAGGAGTGGGGGCTGGTGGGTCAGAGCAGGGGGGCTGGGAGCCAGGACTCCTGGGTTCTCTCCCCGCCTCTGGGACAGGAGTGGGGGCTGGTGGGTCAGAGCAGGGCGGGCAGGGAGCCAGGACTCCTGGGTTCTCTCCCCAGCTGTGGGAGGGGAGTGGGGCTGGTGGTGAGATCGGGGGGGCTGGGAGGAGGACTCCTGCCCTCCCCTGCTGTGTCCCTCTCCCCCTGCCCTCTGAGTAACCCCGTCTCCCCCCCAGGCCCTGGCCTGCGGTGACCCCCCTGTGTCCGCAGTCACTATGAGCTCGGGTGGGGCCGGGGGCCCGGCGGGCTCCGTCCGGGAGTTCACACGCCACGCCAGCGACGTGCTGCTCAACCTGGACCAGCTACGTCACCGCCGCGTCCTGACCGATGTCACCCTGCTGGTGGGGGGGCGCCCCCTGCTGGCCCACAAGGCTGTGCTCGCCGCTTGCAGGTGAGGGGGGCGGAGCTTGGACGGTCTGGGGGCGTGGCCAGAGAGGGTGTGGCTAGGAACAGCTGGGGCTTGGCTGTAGAGGGCGTGGCTGCTGAGCAGTGGGTGTGGCTGGGAAGGGTGGGGTCTTGGCTAGAGAGGGCGTGGCTGGAAGGGTGGGCGTGGCTAAAGAGGGTGTGGCAGTGAATGGGTGGGCGGGGCTGTGAGGGGACGCTGCGGGTAGGGGGCATGGTTGGGAAGGAGGGGGTACAGCTGGGTGGGGACATGGCTGATGGGGGCCACGGGAACGGGCTTTGAGTCGTGGGGGCAGGGAGGGTGGTGGCCGTGGGGTGGCTCTGTGTGGGGCAGGGACATGGCTGTGGGTTGGTGGCTCCGCACGGCAAGGGGGGGGCCACACCCATCCGGACCCACAGCTGGGTCCCCGTCCTGTGGGGAGAGGGTGGGGGCGGGCCGCCGGGCCAGACTCTGAGTCACCTTCTGGGTGGGGCAGAGGGGGCTGAGGAGGCGTGGCCATGGGGAGGTGGCGTCTGGGCCACGCCCCAGTGTGGGAAGGGGAGGCGTGGCCAGAGGGGAGGTGTCTATCCCCACGCCCCGCCCCAGTGTGGTCTGGGTGGGCCGCGGTGGATGCTGGGAGTTGTAGTCCGTGTCCCACTTTCCCATCACCCTTCTCTCCCCATGGCAGTGGCTTCTTCTACTCCATCTTCCTGGCTCAGGGGGGCAGCGAGGTCACTGTCCTCACCCTGCCCGGCTCCATCCAGCCCGGGGGCTTCCAGGCCCTGCTGGATTTCATGTACACCTCCCGCCTGCCCCTCACCCCGGCCTCCGTCCCCGCCCTGCTCAACGCCGCCACCTACCTGCAGATGGAGCACGTGGTGGACGCCTGTCACCGCTTCATTCAGGCCAGGTAGGGGGCGCCGGCTCCCCTCCGGCCGCCGAGCGGCTCAGGGGGGCGGGGAATGGGGCAGGGGCCTGTCCCCTCTAGGGGGCGCCGGCTCCCACCTGGTCCCAGGGCGGGGCCTGGCTGGCTCAGGGGGGCAGGGAATGGGGCAGGGGCCTGTCCCCTCTAGGGGGCGCCGGCTCCCACCTGGTCCCAGGGCGGGGCCTGGCTGGCTCAGGGGGGCAGGGAATGGGGCAGGGGCCTGTCCCCTCTAGGGGGCGCCGGCTCCCACCCAGCCCCAGGGCGGGGACGGGCTGGCTCGGGGTGGTGGGGCGGGAATGGGTCGCTGCTCCCCCTCATTTCATTCCTCTCTCTTGCAGTTACGACCACGGTAGCTGCTACCCCAAGCCCCTCCCCTCCCCGGCGGACCCCAAATCCCTGGACACCCCCCAAGGACCCTCAGATGACAGTGGGACGGTGCCCGCAGAGGGTCCCCACCCAGAGGGGCCAAGCCCGGGGGCCCCCCTGCGATCGGCTCCTGCCAGGCCGCCGGCGAAGGGTTCCGGGGGGGCGCCCCCGGGGGGGGAGCGGGGCCCCCCCGACAGCCCGTCGCGCTCCGAGGGGCACCCCGCCTCCCCCTGCGAGTCCAGCGGCTGCGCCCCCGACCCCAAAGCCTGCAACTGGAAGAAATACAAGTTCATCGTCCTGAACTCGCTCCGGGGGGAGGGGGCCGGGGGAGGGGGTGGGGCCGGCCCCCAGCCCCCCGGCCCCCCGACCCTGCCCGAGCCCCCGGCCGGCAAAGACCAAGGCGCCAGCCGTGACAGGGAAGAGGGGGGCCGCGCCCTCTGCGGGTGAGTGGCTGAGCTGGGGGGTGGGGCGGCCGGTCCCATATCCGGGCCCATACGCTGGGACAGGGAGGGGCACCCGGGCCCATACGCTGGGAAGAGGAGGGGCGCCCGGGCCTATATGCTGAGTGGGGGAGGGGTGCCCGGTCCCATACGTCAATTGAGGGGGGGGGCCGGGTCCCATATACGTGGGGGGGCGAGGCACCTGGTCCGTATGCCAAGCTGGGGTGGGGGAGAGGGGTCCATATGCCGAGGGGATCGGGGCTTCTGGTCCTATATGCTTGTGAGAGGGGCTCGTGGTCCAATACACAGGGGCGGGGCGCTTGGTCCCATACGGTGAGTGGGGGGCGGGGGCCCAGGCCCCATACACTGGGGGCTGGGGGGAGCTATGCCTCATAGTAGCTGAGCCCCCCCCGCCCTTTCCCATCTCCCCACAGGCTGCACCCTGCCGTCTCACAGTGCCCCGTGTGCCCCCGGCACCGGCAGGTGGGGGCCCCGCTGCCCCCACCCTGCCCCCACCTTCCCCAGGGGCGGCCCCGGCCCGCAACAGGTGAGGGGCGAGGAAGGGGGCTCTGTCCCCTGCACGGTGTGGGGGGGGGAGAGGGAGGGGGCTGGTCCATACGTGCTGTGGGGGGGAGGGGCCGGTCCCATTTACACTGTGAGGTGGAGGGAGGGGCTGGTCTGATGTGCGCTGTGGGGTGAGGGAGGGGCTGGTCCCATACACACTGTGGGGTGAGGGGAGGGGCCAGTCCCATATGCTGTGGCGGGGGAGGGGCTGGTCCCACATAGGCGCTGAGGGGGGATGGGCCAGTCCCATATGCTGCAGAGCGGGCTCTGAGTATTGGGGACCCCCCCCCGGGCCATGCCCTGAACCCTCTCACGGCCCCCTCCCCTCCCGCAGGTGCTGGACCATACGGCTGCGGGGCCTGCGAGCTGGGCCTGGAGGAGGAGGAGGGGGAGGGGGAGGACGGGGGAGCGGATGGGGGGCAGGCCCCGGCGGCTGCCCCCCACGACAACAAACCGTTCAAATGTCACCTCTGCTGCTCGGCCTTTCGCTACAAGGGCAACCTGGCTTCCCACCGCGCCGTCCACACCGGTACGGGGTGCCGGGGGGGGCCAGGGGGATGGGGGGAGGGGCCAGGGGAGGTGAGTGGAGTCAGGAAGGGTCAGGGGGCGGGGTTAATGGGAGGTGGGAGGGGCCAGGGGAGGTGGGTGGAGTCAGGAAGGGTCAGGGGGCGGGGTTAATGGGAGGTGGGAGGGGCCAGGGGAGGTGGGTGGAGTCAGGAAGGGTCAGGGGGCGGGGTTAATGGGAGGTGGGAGGGGCCAGGGGAGGTGGGTGGAGTCAGGAAGGGTCAGGGGGTGGGTTTAATGGGAGGTGGGAGGGAACAGGGGAGGTGGGTGGAGTCAGGAAGGGTCAGGGGTGGGGTTAATGGGAGGTGGGAGGGGCCAGGGGAGGTGGGTGGAGTCAGGAAGGGTCAGGGGGTGGGTTTAATGGGAGGTGGGAGGGAACAGGGGAGGTGGGTGGAGTCAGGAAGGGTCAGGGGTGGGGTTAATGGGAGGTGGGAGGGGCCAGGGGAGGTGGGTGGAGTCAGGAAGGGTCAGGGCCGGGGTTAATGGGAGGTGGGAGGGGCCAGGGGAGGTGGGTGGAGTCAGGAAGGGTCAGGGGGTGGGTTTAATGGGAGGTGGGAGGGAACAGGGGAGGTGGGTGGAGTCAGGAAGGGTCAGGGGCGGGGTTAATGGGAGGTGGGAGGGAACAGGGGAGGTGGGTGGAGTCAGGAAGGGTCAGGGGCGGTGTTAATGGGAGGTGGGAGGGGCCAGGGGAGGTGGGTGGAGTCAGGAAGGGTCAGGGGTGGGGTTAATGGGAGGTGGGAGGGAACAGGGGAGGTGGGTGGAGTCAGGAAGGGTCAGGGGGTGGGTTTAATGGGAGGTGGGAGGGAACAGGGGAGGTGGGTGGAGTCAGGAAGGGTCAGGGGTGGGGTTAATGGGAGGTGGGAGGGGCCAGGGGAGGTGGATGGAGTCAGGAAGGGTCAGGGGCGGGGTTAATGGGAGGTGGGAGGGAACAGGGGAGGTGGGTGGAGTCAGGAAGGGTCAGGGGCGGTGTTAATGGGAGGTGGGAGGGGCCAGGGGAGGTGGGTGGAGTCAGGAAGGGTCAGGGGTGGGGTTAATGGGAGGTGGGAGGGAACAGGGGAGGTGGGTGGAGTCAGGAAGGGTCAGGGGGTGGGTTTAATGGGAGGTGGGAGGGGCCAGGGGAGGTGGGTGGAGTCAGGAAGGGTCAGGGGTGGGGTTAATGGGAGGTGGGAGGGAACAGGGGAGGTGGGTGGAGTCAGGAAGGGTCAGGGGGTGGGTTTAATGGGAGGTGGGAGGGAACAGGGGAGGTGGGTGGAGTCAGGAAGGGTCAGGGGCGGGGTTAATGGGAGGTGGGAGGGGCCAGGGGAGGTGGGTGGAGTCAGGAAGGGTCAGGGGTGGGGTTAATGGGAGGTGGGAGGGAACAGGGGAGGTGGGTGGAGTCAGGAAGGGTCAGGGGGACGGGACCAGGGGAGGTGGGCAGGACCAGGGGAGGTCAGTGGAGTCAGGAAGGGTCAAGGGGCGGGGTTAATGGGAGGTGGGAGGGAACAGGGGAGGTGGGTGGAGTCAGGAAGGGTCAGGGGGAGGGGACCAGGGGAGGTGGGCGGGGTCAGGGGAGGTGGGAAAAGTCAGGAGGAGGAAGGGGTTGAGGGGAAGCAGGGGGGCCAAGAGCATGTTGGAGGGCTCATGGGGAGGGGTCAGAGGGGAGGTGGGTGCCGCCCCCTAGCTGCCCCCTGTGTCCCCCCCAGGTGAGAAGCCATATCGCTGCGGAGTCTGTGGGGCCCAGTTCAACCGGCCAGCGAACCTCAAAACCCACTCGCGGATCCACTCAGGCGAAAAGCCCTACAAGTGTGAGACCTGCGGCTCCAGCTTCGTGCAGGTGCGGGTGGGGGGGGGCAGGGTAGGCTCTGTGGGGGCCAGGTGGAGAGATATGGGGCTGTGAAGGGGAGGCCTCGGGCAAGGGGCAGTGAGAGAAACTGGTGCAATCAATAAGGGCCAACATCTACTGGTGGGAGCAGTGGGATCTGAAGCCCCTGGCTCCCATAGACTCCAACGGGGAGCAGGGCCCCCTAGTGGCCAGGCCGGGTACTGCCACCCTGGGTCCCATAGATTCCAATGGGAAGCAGGGCCCCCTGGAGGCCAGGCCCAGTACTGCAGCCCCCTGGAATCTGATCACCTCTCTCTCCCCTCCCAGGTCGCCCACCTCCGGGCCCACGTGTTGATCCACACGGGTGAAAAGCCCTACCCTTGCGAGACGTGTGGGACCCGCTTCCGGCACCTACAGACCCTCAAGAGCCACATCCGGATCCACACGGGCGAGAAGCCGTATCACGTGAGTGGGGGATGATGACGACAGGACTCCTGGGTTCTCTCCCCGGGGCTGGGAGGGGAGTGGGGGCCGGTGGCTACAGCAAGGGAGGTTGGGAGCCAGGACTCCTGGGTTCTCTCCCCAGCTCTGGGACGGGATTGGAGTCTGGTGGGATAGAGCGGGGGCGGGGGGGGGGGTTGGGAGCTAGGACTCCTGGGTTCTCCCCCCGCCCGGCTCAGGGCACTGACCCCCCCGTCTTGTGGCCCCCCCGCAGTGCGAGGCCTGCCACCTGCACTTCCGGCACAAGAGCCAGCTGCGGCTTCACCTGCGGCAGAAGCATGGGGCCGTCACCAACACCAAGATCCGCTACGCAGTGCTGGCCGGCCCCTCCGGCGCCCGCTGCTGAACGGGGACCGCGCTTCCTCCCCCTCTCACCAGAGAGCAGGAGAGAGACACAGGTCCCCCCCACCCCGCACCGCTGCCTACTTCGCTCCTGCCAGCAGGGGGGGCCGTGTCGGGGTAGGGGAAATTCCCGGCCTGTCAGGAGGGGCCCGCTGGTCGTGACTCCCTTTCATAGCATGTGTTGTCCTGCAGTGTCTGGGCTTGGCTGGGGGGGGGGTGCTATGGGACATGGGGGGCTATGGACTGCAGGGGGGTGGTCTCTCTGGTCTATGGAAGACCCAGTTCCATATGTGTAGGGGGGAGTATATCTGCACCCTGTGTTTTGAAGTGGGTCTGCCATTCCCTCCCCCACCCCCCCAAGCTGGGGAGGGAACCCAGGAGTTCTGGCTCCCAGCCCTCTGCTGTAACCACTAGACCTCACTCCCCACCCAGAGCCGGGGAGAGAACCCCGGAGTCCTGGCTCCCAGCTCCTCCTGCTCCAACCCACCAGACCCCACTCCCCTCTCAAAGCTCGGGAGAGAACCCAGGAGTCCTTGGTTCTTTAAGTAAATGTGGCACAGGAAGTGATGTCAGAGCTCTGCAGGCAGAGTGTTGTGAGAGACCACGCCCTCCCCCTCCCCCTCTTTTCTTAACTACTGTACTTAATTTTCAGTTGATTTATGTTTCCTTCTGGAAGGCAATATCTCATTTGGTTAAACCAGTTTCAGTCCAGAGTCACTCTGAATTCTCCCCTACCTTGGACATCTCTATGGACAACTGATGATGCCGGCTTGACGTTGGCTTAACTGGAGTCAGCAGCTGCCAGTTTTGCATAGACTTCACTGAAATTCTAATCACGATCTAAATCTGGGAGGAGTGACTCTGGAGTGACTCTGATTTAACTACCCTGGAAGCCTCTCTAGCCAGCTAATTGTGACTCTGCAGTTTCGGTGACACTAGTGTCAACCCAAAGTCAATCCAGTTAAGTTCTCACTGAGGTTGGACATCTTTAGGGACATTGAATGTCTCTGGTTTGACAGCCGTTTAACCAAAATCAGGAGTCACTAGCTGTCCATGAAGACCTCAAAGACGTTCTAGTCCAGTCTCTAAATCTCTGTGGATTGACTCTGATTTTACTAAAATCCAGATTCACCATTTGTCCACGGAGTCTTTACTGAAGATCTAGCCTACCCTACAAGTCTCTATGGACAACTGGTGACTCCGGAGTTTTGCTTAAACCAGTTTTAATATAGAGTCACTCCAGTTAAGCTTTCCCCTACCCACGTTGTCTCTGTGGACAACTGATGCCTCCAGCTTGATGCTGGTTTAAGAAAGTGTTTTCTTCTTTTTTTTTTCACAAAGGTTCTTTAAAGAATTAAATGTATTTTTTTGCTGACAGTGGCTTTTTCTGACCCATATCTATCTATATTTTTAACCCCCCCCCCAAGTTGGGGGGTGTATTTTTTGCTGCTTTTAATTTGCTTTGCAGTGTCAATGCTCGGAGCAAAAGCAAAAGGCGTTTGTAGCTCGGCCACTTGACCTTGTGTTAGTTAGTTGCCTGCTCTAGAAGGCTCTAGAGTCGTACTGGGGCAGGTCCATTGCAAAAGGGTTCTTGACATGCTGGAGATCTCTGGAAGCGTGAGGTGTAGCAAAGCAAGGAGTTTGATCCTAAGGTCTGGGGACCTTCTGGAGTTTATCTGGTTGGAGTCTGGAACCTAATGTATCCTGTGTTCTAGATATGTTATCCAGCATGTAAATGTTCCACCTTCTGAGTGTAGAACACCTACAGTTATCTGGATATGGGATCCAGAACATCTAAGGTGTCTTGTCTACAGGATTGAGGGTTCTAGACTGTGTTCTTCGGGAGTCTACGTATTCCAGCTCCAGAGTGCAGATCCTCCGAGGTCTCCTCTTTATGGAATCCTGGGTTCCAGAATCTGTATTTTCTGAATCTAAATATTCCATCCACCGAGTCTGGAGCCACCCAGATCAAAGGTTTCAGGAACAGAGGTTCTGGATTGCTAAAATGTAGATAATCCAGGTCCCCCATAACATATGACCTCTGAGGTCTTCTGCCTATGGGTTCCTGACTTCCAGGCTTCCTCTCAATATTATGTCTCCAGATACTAGAACCTCTGAGGCTTCATGTCTACCAGATCCTGGGTTCTAGGCTCTTTTGAGTCTCTATCTCCAGATTGTGGAACCTCTCAGCTCAAGGGCTTCCAGAGCAGGGGTTCTAGATTATTCATCTGTAACCCTTCCATATCCACTTTGCCAGATGGCCTTTGGGCATTTCAAGTTCTGGAGACCAAAGCGAGAGCGACGCGGAATGTTTAGTCTCTGGTCCCAGCTAAGGTTCTAGATTATCAATGGATGAGTCTAGAACACAACTGATTGATGGGCTGGATCATTAGATCAGGAATCCCTCTGGATTGGGAATAATGCAGGGTGTAAGATATTTGTCATGGGTGGCTGAGGACCCTACTCCCCCCAAAACAATTAAAGTCAGAGCACGTTAGTGGGGCAAGAGAGGGATCTGGGATCACAGTGGCCCTAGAATAAAGCTGAAAACTTCAGCAGCAACTGGTCTTTGCTGCTCCAGAAGAGGTCTGGAACCTCTGGTGCTTCACGCCATGTGGGGAAAAGGGAGGGAGCTGTGGTTCTGGAATGAGGAGGGAAGTTTATCACCTTTCAATTGCCAGGGGGAAGAGCAGATGGGAAAGGAGAGTCTAGAATAGCATAGTCTAAAACAACCTAGGAATGGATAGTGTGGCATAGAATGGATAAGGGAACCTACAGTCAATGTATGGTAAAGGCTAGAACAAATAGTGCCGCCCAGAATAGATAGCCCATTCTAGAATGGATAGCGTAGTCTAGAACTGATGACATAGGAATGCGTGGCGTGGTCTAGAACAGACCGCCCAATCTTGAATCAATAGCTTAGGAAGGGATACCACAGCCTAGAACGGATCACCTTGGAACGAAAAGACCCATCTAGAAGGATAGCCCGATCTAGAACACACAGTCTCTGAACAGTTTGCGCTCCCTATAATGGAGAGCACAACCAAGAATGGCTACCGTAGTCTCGAATTCATGAACAAGGAATGGATAACACCATCCAGGACAGCACAGTCTAGTACGGCTAACCTAGGAATGGATAGCCCAGTCTAGATCGGTAGCCCACTCTAGAACCCATCGCTTAGGAAGGGATACCGCAGCCTGGACCCATCTAGCACCATCTAGAATGGCTAGCCTAGGAAGGCTAGCACAGTCTAGAATGGCTAATCCAGTCTAGAATCGGCCGGGTGGTCTAGGATGGCTAGCCTAGGAATAGATAGTGCAGTCTAGACGGGATAGGTTGGGATCAGGCGACCATCTACACAATGGGGCTCTAGATGGACGTGGAACACACACATCTCCCTCTCCCATCTCCTACTCCCCACCTAGTAGGGGTCAGTTATTCTCCCTCTATCACGCACACGATGGGACCGGTTCCCATTACCACACATAAGGAAGATATCCCGTTCCCCACCTCCTGAGCCAGCCAATCTCCCCGTCATGGGGCCAGATGGGAGCCAGCGCCCCCTAGAGGGGACAGGCCCCATGCCCCGTTCCCTGCCCCCCTGAGCGAGCCAGTCCCCGCCCTGGGGCCGGTCGGGAGCTGGCGCCCCCTAGAGGGGACAGGCCCCATGTCTCATTCCCTTCCCCCCTTAGCCAGCCAGTCCCCCACCCTTGGGCCAATTCACAGCTGGCGCCCCCTAGAGGGGAAATTTAACAGCTATTCCTAGTGCTGGCTACTGGAGGGGTGCAGTGGCATATTTAACCTCCCCCACTCCCGTAGTTCTTCTGGGATTTGAAGACACCCCCCCAGCTACAAGCACATGTTGCCGGGAAACATGCAAACGGGGGTAAATTGCAGAGGTGGGAATATTATATATTGTCACAAAACGCTGCGGGGCAAAATGTGCTTTCACGTCAGGGCTCTGCCTTGGTGTTCTGGTGGGGGAGAGGTTTGGGTCGGGGCGGGGTATTTGGAGCTGATTTGGGGGGGGGGTATCTGTCAAAAGCTGGTTCTGGCCTCACACCCTGTAGCACCCCAACACGCAGCTCGGTGGCTGGTTTCAATAAAGCTTTTCTGGACAGATGCACGGGTGCATTTTGTTTAGCAAGGCCCCGCCTGCCGGGGGAGAGCGCCCCCTGCTGAGCCCCTGCCCCCCAGCACCACATCCTGCAGCACAGCGCCCCCTAGCGCTGCCCTCGGGCCAACGTCCCAGCACTGAAATGCAGCCACCTCTGGGGTGGAGCAGCTGGTTATCCGGGGATCCCTCGCCCGGCGCTGAGATGCAGCCACATGTGGGGGGCGGGGGTGGGGGGGGGGGGGGAGATGAAAATCCCTACTCAGATGCAAATGATGGGAGGGAAGGCAGAATTGCCCACGACAAATCCCACCCAGCTACCTCGATCCAGTGTCCTTTGTGGGGACGGCACGACCGGCTCTTCTGGGATCCGGTCTTTAGTTTTACCATATGACTCTGGGAGAGCAGCAGGGTCTGGTGGTTAGAGCGAGGGGGGGTGGGTCAGAGCCAGGACTCCTGGGTTCTCTCCCTGGCTCTGGGAGGAGAGTGTGGGCTGGTGGTTAGAGCAGAGGGCTGGGAGCCAGGACTCTTGGGTTCTCTCCCCATCTCGAGAAGGGGAGTGGGGGGTCTAATGGTTAGAGTAAGAGTGTGAGAGCCAGGACTCCTGGGTTCTCTTCCCAGCTCGAGAAGGGGAGTGGGGGGTCTAATGGTTAGAGCAAGAGTGTGAGAGCCAGGACTCCTGGGTTCTCTTCCCAGCTCGAGAAGGGGAGTGGGGGGTCTAATGTTGAGAGCAAGGGGGTGTGGGAGCCAGGACTCCTGGGTTCTCTCCCCAGCTCTAGGAGGGGAGTGGGGTCTAATGGTTAGAGCAGGGGAGGCTGGGAGCCAGGACTCCTGGGTTCTCTCCCCAGCTCTAGGAGGGGAGTGGGGTCTAATGGTTAGAGCAAGGGGCGCTGGGAGCCAGGACTCCTGGGTTCTCTCCCCAGATCTGTTCCAAACTCACTGTTTAGTCTTGGGCCAGTCACCCTTTTCTCTCCCCCTCCCCCTGGAAATCCACAGAGCTCATGCGTCTTCCTCTGGGGTGGGAAAGAAGCCCCAGGGGCTGGGCTGGGCTGCCTTGGGGTGGGCCGGTTCCCTCCTAGCGGGTGAGGGG